GTCCACAGCACAGAACAGATTTTGGGGTTGCGATCCACAGTCGAATTGCCTACCTATTCATCCTTTTTCTCTCTGTAACCGCGATTATTCGCACATGTGTTCTTTTCTCATCTATTGCAATGACCTGCATGTTAAATAATTGATCAGTGGAGAAGTGTGCACAGCTCTCAATTTTTATAGAGTGCCGACAGCATGAGAGACAGAGCTATAAAAATCAAAGAAATAATAATAAAGGCTGAAACAAGACGCCAATGGCATGTCATTCCCGAAGCGCAAAGCGATTCCAATAACGCGCATCAAAATGTCAGGAGCACAGCAGCTGTTAACGTTAGCGAGGAGGATATGGGCCCGTAAAGTAAACTTTCCCCAACTTCCCTCAGACGGGGGAGGAGGAGGGCTGATATTACGGAGGACATCAGTATGGAGAGGCAGACTGAAGCGAGCAGTCAAACTGTCAGATGGAGGCGGCCAGACGGAACAAAGACGTACAGAAAGACAATTATGACCGTGCAGCAGAGCCTCGGCAGAATCACACAAACACACACTTGACGTGACACTGATGCGCGCCGCTTAAACACACGCTCTCTTCTCGCACTTACATTTTGCCTTGTGCGGTTGGATGAGGGAAATTATTGCACACCTGAACCTGCATAATTGGAAATATTTCTTCTCTGTCTTTGACACCTTAAGGGGGAGCAAATAAGATGTTCTGCAATATGGTTTAGCCCAGTTGTAATTTATAGGAAGGAAAAGTCACCCTCAAAAAGGAAACCGTGTGTGTGTGTGTGTGTGCATGTGTTCAGCATAAGTGGGGGACTTATAACCAGTCCAGATTGTTCTTAAATGAACAATTAACTTGGTAATCTTCATTCCGTCTGCCACCGTATTCTTAAGATCAGTTTAAGCAGAAAAAAATAAATAATTGTTTATCTTGTAGGGCCAATTCAAGTAAAGGACAATTTAATATCTATTGTCTCTTTAATAGGGCTACGGGTAAAATGGTTTTAATATTCTGCAGGCTATAAATGATATATGGCAATGTTTGGAATTATATTTTTGTATAAATAAAATGCTGCATTTTTTATAAAGATCTAGTTGTATTAATTCTCATACTTTCAAAGTAATTACAGTCAAAATGAAACTGTGTGCTATAAATGCACAACTTTATAGTCATATTTAAGAATATGTCAACACTGATTTTTACTGTCGATGACACGTTTTAAATATTGCTTTCCAATGTCAACTAATTTTCTCTCACATGTTGGTTAACTTTTTTTTTTTTTTTTTTGAGATCCACATGTACCAGGCCATGTTCTCTTGTAGATTATATATTGCCACTAAATAATATTTGTATAAACTTTTTTATAAGCAGCAACTTTGTCCGCAGATATTACAAGGGTTCTATTGAGTTTTATTGTCACGTTTGGGTACAATTTGGGTAAAATTGTGTGTTTCCAGTTTTTTTCATAGGGAATGAAAGGAGCAATTATACGTGTGTATGTGTGTGTTCATTTCGGTTGGTAGGATTGGTGATGGTCTCTAGGGGGAAAGGAAGAAGACAGTTGTGTATTAAGTAAGATTTTACGTCATTATTGAATTCTTGAATCTGATTGGCTGATACATCGAATAGATCATTTGATCATTTATATCTGCTCAGAAGTGAAGTAAGTCCATTGACCATGTTACACTGCTAAATAACACCATATTCTTTAAAAATTGTTATAAAAGAAACTTGAGCTGTTTTTTCAGTGCTCTTTGTTGTGACATAAGGCATGATTTTACACAATAGAGCCTGTTATGAATGAAAACCTGAAATAAATAATTTATTTAGATTTCATATAGTCTTCTTTATTTACACAGAGTTCATGCACCAAACAACATTATACATTATTTATATTAGTTCCAGGAAAAAAAATCTGTTTAAATTTTTCATTACACATTAATTGACATCAAATAGTTTTATCATTTTTTATAATTTGCAATAATAGCTGGAATTTTCGATATTGTAACTCCCTGAAAACTATAAGCATAAGAACTTTTGCTAGAAATTGCAAACAGTCCAAAACAACTATTTATATTTTTTCCAGTACACATTGTTTACATCAAATAGTTCATTATATTATATCCAACCCATCTAAACTAAAGACTATCAGTGGTCACAATTTCAACAAACCTCATTGAACCTTATCCACCTAGATAATGTGGTGCCATTATTACATCAGCAGAATTCCCAAAAATAAGTGTTCAAAATATTCAAGAAAAGTTTGCAATATACAAGTGACAGTTCCATCCCAGGCCCAAGCCATCAGGCCACCCATCCCGTTGAGCCCAGTAAATACAGTGCAGTTTTTATGAGCAGGACTCAAGAGCACAATATTGCAGCAACCAGCTTTCTGACAGTCATCATAACTCAACTGTGTTTGATGAGAGAAGCGAGAGATGTGGAGAGAGCAGAAGTGGGCAACCTGGGGCGCTTGCACAGACTGACACTGCAAACAGAATATCACTGTGTTACATCTCTCTTTCTCACACACACACACACTCTGTCTCTCTTTTTTTCACCCAGTTCTATCCCAGTTTTACTAACTTTCTCTCCCAGAGGACGTTTTTTAAATAACCTTATTAAATTATATCCCAATAAAGATGACAATGTGTGTTTAATTTAGCTTGAGATAGCACAATGCATATTGTTAATTACGTGTTGAAAATCTTACCGAAAAAATGCCCCAACAACCTTATCAAGCTGTTTCAGATGATAAAAGATCAATTGTAAAATCTGTTTCTGCAATATTTCTGCCTTTAGACTGCACTGCCCTCTATTGGCTTTGAGAGTGTGTGACTTTTCATCACTAATTATTAGTCACTTTAGGGGTGAGCACTGTGGTCTTTTACAAATAAATGCTTTATTAATATTTTTTAAATGCATAATGGAGCCTTCTTTGTATCATTTGTATCCATCTGGCATGTATGAGAAGATGATGTTTGAGCAATTATACATTTCAAGGTCTTCAGGGGGTTCATTATTCACCGGATGAATGCAATTTAAAAATTGTTTTTAAAAGACCAATGCAGTGATAGGAGATAAGGGGAATTATTAATAAATTAAAATACTCAAATCAACCGGTATAATTTTAATAATCTATCTAATAATATATTAAAATAAAAAATTCTCAGGAATAATGCTAAAAAATATATATTTTTTTTTTACATGACACTAGTTCTCAATTTGTTTAATTAAAAGGGGGTGAATTAACATGGTAACATTCAAAAGTGCAGCCATTCACTCATTAATGAGAAGGTGATTAGATACAATATGGTTTTAGTTGGAAAATGATAAGTTATGACTGTTTTAAATTCCACCGGACCCTGAAATGTAACCGAAAATATAGTTTTTAATGCATTATGAGGGCTTTTGTCTCTTGTAAAGTATACCCTCAAATGATTATTTGTTAATTTTGGGGGCACACTATTCCTTTAATAACACTATTCAATGAGACCATGTACTGGTGTAACATTAAAAATGGTGCTCACACTGCTTTCTTTTTAATGCCTGATTGGCGATTAAAGGACACATGTATATCAGAGGCACTGATTTGTTGCCATAGGAACTTAACTTGTCCTTTGGTGCCATCTGTGATTGTTCAGAAACCTCTTTGTACTCAGCATGCTTCAGTTTCCAACTGTTGTTAATCCAGCATCTTAGATTTAAGCCTCTGTGTTAGCCGTCTTTTTAAGACTGACACGTTGTATTTACGCTCTTGGCAAGAAAAATAGCAGAAACAAACAGTAGGCATACTGAAATTCAAGACCTGAAGATGTCACTTTATTAATAAACCAGCAAGCAAGACTGAAAAACCCAATGTGTGGAGTTCCATCAAACAGCATGATACATGATATAGCCAATGAGTTTCTGTTGAGTCCCACACAGTAAAGACGTGGGGAATCCGGCTAATACCAGAGACATTAAGCACTGGAAAGGTAGTGTGATATGTGAGTGTGAAGAAAGAGAAAAGTGTGTAGAGTAATAAATTCAGTGACTGTGATAATGCAGCTTCGTGATTGGATGTGATGTTTCAGGTCTTTATGACAACACAGCCGCTCTCCTGAATTAAATGATTGGCTGAATTCGGAATTGCACACTAATACTATTTGCTATATGGGGAGAAATTGTAATAGTATGCTATTTCAAATTCAGCCATGTGCTATTTCCTCAATAGCATACTATACTCTTACTATGTCTATAGTATACAGTACAGTGTGTATACAGTATACGCACAATTTCTGTATGCATAAAATATCAGATTAGGGGAGGGCGATGACAATGTAATACTTTTTGACTTTGTCAATTTGTGTAAATTTACTTTTAGGGTTTAGAGAATTTTTTTTCCCCTACATTAATTTACCACATGTCTAGTACAATTATGTGGTTTTGTTTTATTAATACATAGTGTATACTTTTTTCTTTATTTACCCTGAAAGAATGGAAGTGAGATGTGACAACATGCCCCATAGGTGGGGTACATTGTAACATCAACATATGACAGCTTAAAATGCTATCTGATCTAATAAAAAAATATATATAAGTCAAACCAAAATATTTTCTTAATAAAATTATTAATTATTAACAATTATTAACTTTTTTTCATATAAAATAATGACATTTTTAAATAATTAAAAATATACTAATTATAACAACAAACACACTGGAAAACACAGCTATGCAGCATAGTTCAAAACATAATAATTTCTGAACATTGACTCTCAGTCTTTATTTATGTTTCTCTTGTTTTCTCAATAGAATTCATAAAAGTATAGAATATAATAGCATATTTCTAATAGGAGCACATTAACGCAGTTTTACAACATGCCCCAACAGCACAACTGGGGTTTAAACCCAGTAGTGCAGCTGTGCATAAAGCCAATTGCGGCATATAAACGTAGAAGGAAAAAAGTCGAAATTGTGAGCAAGAAAACTCGCAAGAGAAAAAAAAAGTCAGAACTTTGAGATAAATGATGTTGTTTATTCCATGGCTGAAACTATAATACAGAATGCACTCAACCTTCAATTCAAAATGTGTTGCAAATGAACCAGATGTAATATGTTATCGTGTCATTACATGATCAGAATGCCAAGAGATTTTTGGGATCGGAAAATGCAAAATAGTTATTTTATTTTCTGACACAACCATCGCTCTCTGAATTAAACATGCGCCTAATGAGGTCATGTGACAATGTGGCATACAACTGATTGAACTATTTAGTGGCATAATGCATACATACTCATTTTTGACAATAGCATACTGTAGGGTACATTCAGGTTGATTGGGACACACTCAGGTTGATTGTATAGTACATAGTATGCTAGTATTCCATTCTGAAGACAGCAATTGTTGGATATGTGAGGTTACAAGTCACTTTGTTATGAGTGCTGGTATCTGAGTTCACCTTACCCATCTAGACCAAAACATAATGATGAAATACAAACTCATATCTGCTCATAACAACACTTCTGATGCATTAAAGTATGATTTGAAATGAAATGTTCTAAAAAGATCCCCTTCCTACTCTTCGACAGAGTGTATGGTCCTGGGGGATCATGCAAATAGACTCAAAAATGAAAATATAGATGTAATCAAGTGAACATAACAACAATGTGAATTACTTTTCATTACGGTATCAATGAATAACCATACTATACATACCATATAAGTCTAGAAGCCACTAAGAGAGGTGCACAAGAAGCAGCGAAATGACATTCCACACATACGTTAAGATCTTTTGGCCAGGAGCCAATCAGCATTCATCATGAGGCTCAGGTTTTTACAACCTGAGTTGTGATTGGATGACTGCATATTTGGTGCATCTATTAGCCAATGATTTCAAGAATCCTCCTGAGAGTTTGTCGTAAGGGCTTAAGCATAGAATATAGTCTAAATCATTTTCATTTCTAATTTTTAATAAATACACATTTCATAAGCGCCTTTGGGATATGGAATAGCTCTGTACAATGTGCAAATGCAACAAGCACTGTGCTTACACTAATGCAATGTTAATACAAATACACAAGAGAAAAAAGCCTCTTAGTCACTGTACTAAGAATTAACTTTTGGGTGGCCAATGAAAGCACTGATGAGCAAGAGATGACGGGGATGGAAAGATAAAATCTGGATGGAGAACGTCCATCAGGTGACATTAAGCACAGCAGGTGATTGGTTGGTTGTTTGAGCGGTTAACAGATAGTCCAGTGTCGCTTCCTCACAGGTTAAAGTCAAAGGTCAGGTCAGACTTTGCCATCTTCTGTCGGTAAACACCATCAAACTTTTCGTTCATGGACACAGTGAAAACGTCCTTCCAAAGCCCAAAACGACCTGAAGCAGATGAAAATAGAGTTAGAAGGGCTCTTGATTTCAAAATTACCTCACAGTTTTGGTTTCAACACTAGTTAAACAAGAGAATAATTCATTCCTCAGTTCCTCAGTGTTTTCAAAATCTTTGAACTTTACCCCTTCTACCTTTACCCCAATATTATGGCAATCGGATCCAGAACATTGCTTAAAGACTTGACATCATCCAGACTCACCTTCTGTACCTCTCTCACACACATTTTCCATCTTCATGTTCACTGTTAATATAATAAGTACTCCCTAGTGTACTGTATGTAGTGAGTAGTCAGCATCATGGCAAGCCAAGAATCCATGCACTAAAAGAACAGAACAAGACACAAGAAAACAACAAAACAGAAAACTAAAGTGCAAATTATAAAATAATGTCAAATAAATGGCAAATCCTCTTAAAGTTTAATAATAACAAAATAATAGGACAAAGACAACAGATAGCAACAGCAATTTCCATAGAAATAAAGATGCACCATGCATATTCACCACATGATGGCAGTGTTTCCCAAACCGTTTCTGCAGGCCCAGGAAAGTATTTGCATGCCCCCCACTGACGTGCACCCACATAAAGACACTCTCAGGCATGACCTTGCTTGAAACATTGCAATTAATACAGTACTTAAGTAAATTCAAACTTCAACAAGCTTCTCTTTGTGTTTGTGATGTGAAGTCTCTTAAAGACAGTTGACGGCCCCCCAAAAAAAGCGCCATCTTTGATTTTTAATGAGAATGAAAGCGAGGCTGTGAGGGATGGTCATGCATCTCTTCAATGGGCTGTACTGTTATTTAATGTGTTTTCGGATTGTTTTGCTCATGAAACGCTGGACAAAATATCTTTCCAAGAAATTTCAGTTGACAAAAAACTCCCGACAATGTAAGCTGTGGAAAATTGTAAGTAATCTAGGAGCTTTATTCAGCTTTTTACAGCGGATGCCATTGGAAACACGGTACTATCCCTCACAGCCTCACTTTCATACCTGTCATGGCGCTGCTCTGAATAAGGTCTATTGGCTTCCCCATTGAAGTCAGCATACCATCGTTATGAGCTAATAAAATGTCAAATTAATATTTCGTGTTTAATTATTTACTTACTGAAGAGGTTTATTTTGCATAGCAATCTTCTGAATGTACACTATCCCGACCCTTAGCCTTGTTACGCCCCCCGTTTATACCTTCGAGCGCCCCCTTTTTCTCCTGTCGTCTGTTTCTTACCCCGGTAGATGGACAGGGCCTCGGAGTTGCAGCACTGCTCAATGAGTTGGTTACAGCTCTCCACCATGCTCTCCCGCTGGGCTTTATCACACGCGATACCCAGGAATCGAGCCAGCTGCTCCACCAGGGTCCCCAGATCCTCCAGAGACAACGATTACAGGCAGCAGGAAAGGTGGAGAGAAAGAGAGAATGTCTTTCAGTTATGTAATTATGACTCACACCTTGGTCTTACTTAGATGAATACATGAACACGTAATAGGCTTATTAAAAATACGTCTGTTACAACATAATTAACGTTGTCAAATGATTTCAGGGACCTCGAGGTGCAGCTGACTTTTTATCTACCAGCTGTCCTGTGTCCAGAAAAAACTAAATTGCTAAAAGTACATTATGCAAAGCGACCAATTCATGTATGTGCAACTTTTGCTATTTGTTTATATGAAGAGTTCAGATGCAAAAGCCTCTAAATGCCATTTGAAATTTTCTTGTTTAATGATGATTTTTATCAAACTTGTATATTTAAGTTCAGTGATTTCACTTAAATGGCAATGATAATTACCTATTAATTGTTATTTAAGTGAAATTACTGAACTTAAATATACAAGTTTGATAAAAATCATCATTAAACAAGAAAATTTCAAATGGCATTTAGAGGCTTTTGCATCTGAACTCTTCATATGTTATTAAAACATGTTAAACTTTTAAACAATGATAGCAATCTAATTCATATTTCTTTTACTTATGAAGTGCTGAAACAATGAAAACCACGGTTTAATATATATGTTAACTCCTTACAATAAGGTTTTATTTGTTAACATTAATTAACTACATTAGTTATCAAACTAACAATGAACAATACCATTTATTCAGCATTTATTAATATATCTACAGCATTTATTAATGTTAGTTAATGTTAATTTCAACATTTCCTAATACATTATTAAATACAAAGGTTGTATCTGCGTTAACATTAGTTAATAAACTAGGAACTGACAAATATTTTTAACAAAGGTTACATATATATATATATATATATATATATATATTGCTCATTGTTAGTTCATGCTAGTTAATGCAAATGGTGGCTTATTTTAAAGTGTTACCATAATTTATATTAACATACATAATATCCTTTATGTTCAGCATAGTCTCTGACCTCTTCACAGACTACTGGAACATGGTGTCCTATCTATCTATATGTTTCTGTACATTAGTCTGTTGCCTCTGTCACATGCAGTGTGTCTCTGTTTGTCTGTTTCTGGACTCTGAGCTCTCTTAATCGCATTACACCATAAAGATTATGGAAACAACATATCCAAGCAGACTGACTATCTGTGATTCCCCTCCTATGCATACCTATCACACTACTATCAAACTTTTCAGGAACTGTTACCAACTGTAATAATGTGTGATTGTTTGTACTGATACTACATTGACAAATTTCGAAGAGAGTGTGTTCAAAATACAATACTAATGCACCACTTACTGAAATAAGAAATAGTGAACACTGAATATACTGTACACTACTATTTTTTAAAGATTGCATGAAGCAGAACACGCTATGCGATGAGTTTGAGTCATTTACCATCTCTGCATCACACTTTACAGGAAACTGAATTAAAGCCGAAAGTGTTATTATTGTCGACTAAAACTATTAAAAAATAGTTTTCGATACTTGAAATAATATTAAATGTAAATAATAGATGGAAAAACATAAACTTAAAAACTTAAATGAATATTAGAAATATTGCCTTGGCAAATGCCTGAAATAAGTTGAGGTACAAGTACTAACATTTCTAAGTGACTAAAAGCTATACATAAAAAAGTATGTATGTATGTATATACATATATAAAATCACATACCAGAATTACTAAAACTTGAATGAATGCTATTCAAAATAATCATAAATACTATAATAGTACATTATAGTGTGTGTGTGTGTGTGTCAATGCAGGTGGTACCTTGTACATGTCCTCATATTTCAAAAAGAGAACATTAGAGTCCATGCGATGCTCCCAGAACTCCTGAACATGCTCAAACCAGGAACCATATCCCACTGCACAGAAACGGGAACCAGACAAAAAAAAATTCATTCTCATACACTTTCCTTTTGAGCAAATCTGTCACTTTTGTGTAATGTCTCTCACTCACACTTGTCATTCATGAATCGCCTGCAGAACTCCTGGAACGTTCCCCGGTAGCTCATGGTTCGTAAAGAGCGATGAAACTGGTAGTAGGACACCACCAGGTCTTTAGGGTTCCTGGCCATATATATCACCTAGAGGACATACTCATATTCATATCAAAATCTGTACAAAAAGTGAATCACTGATGAAAAGACTCTTTACACCATAAGCAAATGCAATTCATTGTAGACTATTGTGCTCATCAAGGCTGCATTTATTTGATCAAAAATAGTTTTCTAAATTTAATATAGCCTTTAAAATGATATGAATTACTGTGATGGCATAGTTTAATTTAAATCGTCAGTGTCACATGAGCCTTCATTCTAATATGCTAATTTGCTTGTAAAGAAACATTTCTAATTATTTCAATGTTGAGAACAGTTGTGCTGCTTAATATTTTTGTGGGAACTGGAACTTTTTTTCAAGATGCTTTGATTGAATAGAAATATCAAAATAACTCCGAAATCAGAACAGAAATCTTTTATAATGTTATAAATGTCTTGACTGTCACTTTGAAACACTTTATTGCATCCTTGCTGAATAAAGGTATCAATGGTATGTATAATAATAGAGAAAGTTTTGAGGGAATGGACCCTAATGAACGATTGGAAGACATGATTAATATGTTGCATTGTGTTCCAGCTGACCTTTCCCTCTCCATTGTGCATGGCTGTGGGCAGGAATCGGTACGGCAGGTGACTTTTGATCAGACGAGGCGACGTCAGTTCCTACATAAACAAAGAATTAACTGCAATTTTGTCATCTAAAGAGGTCAGAGGTCAGCGTTCTCATGCTGAAGGCCATAGTTTTGGTAAATGTGTGCATGTGAGAGAGAGTTTACCTGGATAATCTCCAACCCCGGCTGTGGGTATTCCAGCACAGGAAGCTGCTCATCAATATTCATGAGGCCGATTTCATCTGGGTCCGCACCCTGGCTCACCAGATACACCACCTCCTGTAACAAACTCGTTCCTGTGTGTGTGAGAGGCAGGAAGGAAAGTCATATCGGATGTATTATTGATGGTTAAAAGATGACTTTGCCTGCTATACTTAACTGAATTGAGTATTAGAAAACTAATGCATTTGCCTGAATATAGCCTAACCTGCAACCCCAAAACCATTTTAAAACCATTCTTTGGTTGACTTTTTTTATTTTATTTTCTATTTTTGACCATCCCAGCTAATGAGGAGCACCCCCCCCCCCCTTTACTTGTCCTACAGAACAGATGAAGATCGGATATTTTAATTGTATTTATCTATTTGTTATGTAAGTTTGTTCTGACATTTAGCTTTGATGTTAATAAAAGGATATTTTGCTTAATGTACTGACCAACTGGAAGATGTAGGTCAGTATATTCCACGAAAATATCTTGCACAAAATGTACAAATGAAATATTTATAAGCCATAACAAATTAATTGTAAGAGTAATTATGGACGACAGAAACACATGACAAGCATTAGACAACTGACAAAAGAGCCTTTAAAGCCTGGCCAGTTTTATTTGGATCCTCTAAAAAGCCTGAAAAATGCAAGTTTGTGGACTGATCGTATATAATCAAGTAGATTTTATTTTCACACTCTTTGTTGTGTGTGGAGGCGTATCAGTGTCCTCTTTCACTTCTTATTTTTGCCCATTTTCGATGAAATGAACAGGCCGGCATGTGACTATCTTCCGTTTAGTTGAGCTTGTTTAGTAGAAGAGATTGTTTTGCCAATTCAGCAGAACTCATATTTCTTTATGAGTTTTCAGGCCTTATGGGAGCACACAACAAGGGCATAATGCAAAAATGACCTTGAAATGATCATAATGCGTCTCTTTCGCTCTCATCGAGCAGTTTTGTTTACTCTTGGCTGATTTGAGAGCAGATAAGTATAAATTAACTTCATTAAATAACAGAATAAACACACAATGCTTTCTGACAGGCCCTTCCTCTTAAAAGGACAATCAAGGTTTTCTAAAATGTATGTAATCATATACTGGGCCATAGCTAGGGCCCTGGTGCAAGTTTATGTATTTGACTATTATGCAATTATATAATTTAACCATATAACGTGTATATGAAGAGTTCAGATGCAAAAGCCTCTAAGTGCCATTTGAAATTTTCTTCTAGAATGATCATTTATATCAAGCTAGTGTATTTAAGTTCATTAATTTCACTTAAATGGGGATGAAGATTACCTATGAATTGTCATTTAAGAGAAATTACTGAACTTAAATATACAAGCTTGATAAAAATGGTCATTCTAGAAGAAAATTTCAAATGGCATTTAGAGGCTTTTGCATCTGAACTCTTCATATATATATATATATATATATATATATATATATATATACTATTTATCTATTTACAGCTATTGGAATAGTTATAGTTAGTGTAATTTTTTTAGGTTGGACTTTGTGTATATAACATCAGAATTAGCTAAATGCTTTAAATGTTAAATGTATTGTTTTTCTTTTTTTGCTTGTTGTTTTGGGAGGGAAATCATATACAGTAGTGGCCAAAAGTGATGTCTAGCCTGTGAAAATTGACATCTTCACCCTTTATTTAAAATGTGTTAAAGATTATGTAATCATATTGCATAGTTGAGCTTGGATTCAATTTTTTTGTGATAACGCAATGAAACATGCCAAATTTTGTGGATATCATTATTGGCCAAGCTTTTATACAAATAAATCTTGAACGCATGCAAAAACAAGAGAGAACTAACAAAATATTATTAACTGATCATGTTGTATGTATGCTTTTCCTGTGAGCATGTCGTTTTTCCAATGCATTCTGTTTGTGCACTGTAGCTGTGGTTTTTGCCTTTTTTGCCAAATCATTTTGCCAGATAAACACCTTAACCATGTTTAGGGGTTTGTTCTTCCTTCATATTTAAAATATTTTTTAAATAAAATATGTTCCTCGCTTTTTGATGGTTCAATCGAACTTGTAGGGTCATTAAAACAAATCACTTTTGACATTACTGTACATTGAACTCTCATTGATTGGATTCAGTACATCATTAATGATGATTAGAGAACATTCAATTCTGCATGCTTGCTTTTAAAGGAACAACACACAGAAATAAATAGCGACTTGAAAGATCTGGAATTAATTTTATGAATCCAGGACTTACAAACACAAGGTCTATGTGTCAGTGTAACGATAACGTGGGTTTGTTAATCCATTTGAAATCAATTTTACTCCTTTCCTGGCTGACAGTCAAATAAAAGTGATAAAAAAATTAGAGTGTGTTTGATTTGCGACCAATTTTGTTAAAAAAAAATCAATCCGCTTCAAGAAAACACACCAACAGGGTCACATAACCCTCCTGATGGCCACTTCCTCCCACTGGACTTGAAAACAAAATGCAAGCTTCCTCAATTGATTTTGTTTTTATTTGAGAAGTATCAAGCTTGTACAGTACAGTGCACCTACAGTATCAACAAGACAATGTCTGTTTACTCTGCAGATTCGACTGACAGTGCAACGTGCGACTCTGTTGACCTGCCATCCATCACGGCCCCACTGGAGACGCATTTCGGTGTGTAACGCAGCAGAGCTCAGCCTTTCCTCGGCTCTCTGGACTCAATTACACAGATGCTGGTGCGACACAACATCCTCTGCAAAGCCAAGTCATTTCAGACCCTTCTCACTCTCTCACTGCTGTCTGTCTACCTCTCAAATCTTCTCTTTATAACGGTGCAATCATCGTATTAAACAAATGCTTTCATTTATATATCATTTAGACCGTCCTAATGTTGTTTACAAGCCATGCATGGATTTCTTTATGGCTTCTCAAGTGCAAGCAGGTTTGAATGCAATGTAATGCATGTTCCGGTCTAAATTGCTTTTTTTCATGCAGGACAACAAGTAAATTACACAAGTAAACTGACAAGCATGCGTGGGAGATGGAGCAATATATCAGGAAACAGCGCCTCTGCAGTGAATGAACACGTGTGGGCATGGCAAACATTTCATCTTGCTGTTTTTCACATCAACACACAATACAAAAATGCACCCAGAATTCTGATTTGTCGTTCTTATTAACCGAACATCACACAAAATGTCTAAAATAAGCAACTTTGCACCTTTTTTTTCATCAAACTCATTAGCTCTAAGATAACATGGCCATCAGACTCTCAGGGTGGACCAGACATGATTAGGGCCAGGCTGCTTTTATAATACTAATATTAAGTAGCCTATACTAATATTGGCAATACAATCCAGGCCATTGGTGAGACACATCAAAGTAAACGCATTTTTAATCGTGTTTTTAAAAGCGGTATTTTCACTAAACAAACACATATGCATATTAGTATGTTTGTTTTTATGTATTTTATTATATTCACAAGCTATCTGAAACATGCTTTGATGCAATCTAAATCATATTGTCTAAAAATAAATATGCAAAAAAGTGACGTGCGTTTATTTTGGTAAAACACCTCTACATCCGCTATGAAGGAAAAGCGTGCGCATGTAAATTGATTTCATACCTGATTTGGGGTATGTAACGATCCATATGTCGCTACTTCTTAACGAAAAGTTGGCGATTTCGTCCATCTTGCCCCTGCAGAAAGGAGGGAGTCGAACTCCATGATACTCGAAGTATTTGCTCTCGTATTCAATCGGGGTGCTCGGCGTGTCCACCTCGCTTTCCGCCATGCCTTCAAACGATTACAGCACGAAAAGCTCGTAGGGATTGTTTAAAAAAAAAAAAAGATTTGGGGAGAAGAGGACGCATTAAATATCCGCCACCAGCCCTTGATTGTTTGGTAAGACGTGTCGCTTTGCTTGCGCCTTGACCTTCAGCCAATCAGGTGGCGTAGAGATGATGTAATAGGATTCTCTCAGTGATGCTCAGCATCAGCACCAGTCGTCCGGGGCGGGTCCTCGAGCACGCCAGCTCTTCATCGGTTATGTAAATAAACAACGCGTTTCTACAAGTAAAACGATAGAATTGTGGTTGCTGAGTGAGAAAGCTGAATCCATTCATGCTTTAATAGACTACAATATCACGTTTGACTGATTTCTCAGTCAATTAGCACACATTGCATGTAGGCTACACTTACATAAGTGTATTATAGCCAAGAGTATATCATACGATCTAAGCTATTTTTAGCATTATGTAATGCATAATTATGTAATGATATGAAAACCAAATTACTAAAGACAAGAGTGTTTTAAATGCCTACTGATATAGGCCTGACTAAGTGCATAAGGAGAATAGCCTATATAGCATTAACAAAAGCATCTATTGAGCTGCATACTTCTCAGGATGTTTTTTGCCTGGAGACATTGTATTCTAAGAATTATAAAAAAAAATTAAACATTAGAAGTAGGCTATTTATATTTAATATATATGTTGCCTAAATCATAGACTAAGCAGTCTCAATTAAATTGCAAACCCCTGGTTTCAAACAAATGCAGATCTGTTTTTATCTGAAAGCAACTTGCACTAAAATATGGCAAAGGCATTATCTCAAGATGCACACCAGTAATGTTTTTTTTCGAAGGCACGTTTTTAAAAGCCAGCTAAACTAAGGCCTTATCCTGGTTTAATGCTAATGTAAACCCTGTCTGTAAAATTGGGCCATACTGTCATATACTGTCACACACACACACACACACACACACACACACACACACACACACACACACACACACACACACACACACACACACACACACACACACACACACATATATATATATATATATATATATATATATATATATATATATATATATATATATATATATATATACATACATATATAACGCAAACCACGTGACAAAGTTGTGGAGAGTAGGCGCAGTGTGGACTGCAGAAACAAGCCCCGCCCATTCAGGAACTTGCTTACTCCCTTTTCTACCTTTATTATGCAGCAAGTTTCCTATTGGCTCCAATGCTGACAGACGCAATAACTCGAGAGAGCAAAACTCCTAAACAACAGCGCAACTTCTGCTCAGAGACAAGTAAACACCTTTACAGAAGACATGCACAGTATGGTTATAACCGAGGAGTAACAGCCTGAGATTTTGCCGCAGTCATGTTTGATTTAAAGGACGGGTGGAATCTGTCGTTCGCTGGATGCGGGTTTTTAGGGGTCTATCACATCGGTGTTGCGAGCTGTCTTCTGGAGCGAGCGCCGTATCTGATCCGCGGGGCCAGTAAGATCTACGGAGCCTCCGCTGGGGCTCTCACTGCATCCGTGCTCGCTACTGAGGCGGGCTTAGGTATGCAGATCATCGGCTTACTCCTTTCAAAAGTGCTGGATTTGTTGGCAACTTACTAGACTTTTGAGTAATTTTGCTATTTTTAGTTTTTTAGGGGATTTCTGCATTTTCATACCTTAAATAAATAGAAGACAGGATTGCTTAATATGATAAACAGACTGAATTTAGTCTTTTTTTTTTTTTTTTTTTTTAATGTTTTCTAAAGTCATCTATTTCTGGTATACTCACCAAGTCACACAATTCCTACTCGACAAAGAGACATTTTTTTTTTAATCTCATCACAAGACCAAAATATTTGAGCAATGCTACATTCATTTGATAACTCTTTACTTTCTTTCTGTCTCATTTGAAACATATTAAAAATGTTAACTCTACCGAGTAATGTGAGAGAAATCTCTAAGCAATAAAATCTCTGAGTATGTAATTCAGAAGCTTTTTATATTGGTTATTGAAGCAAGAGTCAGTGGTTGCATGAATGTTTCAATTATTTGACAACCTTAAATATTTTGCAAAAAGTTTTCTTGTTGCAGTATCCAAGTCAGATCGAAGAATTGTGCTGTTGATTTATACATGAATTATTGATTTATCAAGCCATGCATAATCAAATTCAGTTAATGAAACCATTATATCATGTTTGGTAAATCTCAAAGGTGGAAGTCTGTTTGATATCATCTGCATGACTGTATTCTTTCACTTTCGGTTTATATCTGAACTAGAAAGCTGATTCAGGAGCTTATCAACCTTTGGTTTATTACAGGATCAGAGATTATGTGTATTACTGAAAGCAAAGATAAAAAATAATCACCAATTTCTGTATTGCATGCAGTTATAATTTTTGTTAATTTTATGTTCTTGACTTCCTTTTCATATTTCTTACATCACTGTTTGCGTCCGTTTCTTTTCATTGCTGTAGAGAAGTGTTGTGAAGATGTCATCAACGTTGCCAAGGAGGCACGGAAGCGTAATCTGGGCCCTTTGCACCCAACATTCAACATAGTAAAGGTGCTACGCGGGGGCCTGGATCGCGACCTGCCGTCTAATGCGCACACGCTGGCCTCTGGGCGACTGTGTGTGTCACTTACACGGGTCATGGACGGGCAAAATGTTCTGGTGTCGGACTTCAGCTCCAAAGATGAACTCATCCAGGTTAGGGCTTCACTTTAATGAAAGTGTTGACAGAAAATCATGTTTCGGTGTAACTTTAATAACCCACGTTTATATACCTTTATCTATATGAAAATGGTTTCATGGGGCCATAACATGACATCACACTAATTCTCATGATGATAATGATGTCATTAAATTTTATTGGAGGAGTTCCCTAGAATCATTAGGCAAATCCTAGTGTTTGTTCATTATTGAATTATTGAATATTGAGGTTCGATTTCAGCTGACAAAAGAGCTCAGTTGAACACATTTAAGAATCAGAATTCCCTCAAAAGTAGTGCAAAATAAATTACAAAAAGGCTGCAGATTCTGCCTGGGTCATAAAAATATCAAAAATGCCTTTTAAAATAACTTCAGATTTATAGCTTTAGCTGAGCTAGTGTTTTTTTTTTAAATAAAGCAGAAATAAAGTTAAAAAAAAAACTCTTTAAAGAAAAGTACAAAAATGCTGCGTTAAAAAAATTAACTGAAATGAAATAATTCATTGTTGAAGTACTAAAATGGCTAAAACTAGAACTGAAATAAAAAATAATTAAAGCAAAATAGAAAAATTTTTTAAAAAGCACAAAATAACAAAAACCTCATTAAAATATAAAGTTAAAAGCTCATTCAAAATCATAATACATACTATTCTAGTATATAGTCACAATTCACAAGCGTGTGATTTGATTCACTATCGATTAATTGGGGCCTGTCAGGTACAGTACATGGCAAATTTCCTCAAGGAAAAAAAATATTTCTCAACTACAGAGAACATTTTACATCACTATAGTATTAAAGGTTAGAATTAACTGATTACTAGGCTTCTTGCATTTAATTTACACATTAGGAAAACTTTTTAACATATATGTTTCTACTAATGTTTTTAAATATAAACATTTAAATGATGGATGTCATAAAACATTATTATTAAAGAACAGATTAATGAATATGTAATATATTTAGCAAAAAGAGAGTTCATTTAGCTAGTTGATTAATACATTTATATTCATGTGAATGGCTTATCTGAGGTAAATATTGAGTCACATTTACAACCTGTTTTATTGATGTCTTTCCAACGGTTGAAACACTGATTGAGCGATTACATGAGACATGATACAGAATTCAGTAAGCTGTACAGTATCTTTCAACATACCTTCTGATGTTCATTCATGTTTATTTCGTGCAGTGACTAATAGTAAAGAGAAATAGCTGATCAGTTCATGAGCGCTTCTTGATCTGAGGTGGTACAGCGATCTGTCACGGCACATTTAAGAGCGCCAAAACAATCTTTATTGTTTCATTTTCATTCAACAATAATTTGAAATCTGAGACTAAAAAAGCACAATTGCGATTTCTTGGATGGCACTACAAAGCTTTCTTTATTCATCAACTGAAAACAGCATAGACTAAAAGATTGATTCTTGGGATTTAAGAATTCAAAATGAGAACCGATTAAAATAGAGACATCAATATTTTTAACCCGGCCCTAATAAATAACACTGCTTTAACTCTATTTTCACTTTCTGTTTTCTCTCCATTCCCAGGCTCTTGTTTGTAGCTGCTTCATTCCTGTATATTGTGGTTTAATCCCTCCTGCCTACCGTGGTGTGGTAAGTATTAAAGTTGGATTTTATTTCGCATGAAAGAATTGGGACATTGCAACTGGAGTTCATTGCACTTCAAAGAATTCAGTCACTGGGGCACACTGACCCAACATTGGCCTGAATAAGAGTATTAAACGTGCTTATTGTTTTGATCAAGATCTTCTGGTAGAACTGTGACCTAGTGTGTCTGCAAATACAGTAAACCACCCTCCTCTCTATAGTCCGTACATTGTGTACTTGTTCTTCAGAAAGGGGAGGAGAATTCGATGTATAGAAATAGCTGAGAGGTCAAACAGTTCCTGTAAAGCTTCGTCTCTGTTTACAGTTACAGCCCTGTAGTTACCATATGGAACAATGTTCCTGGACTGTGTTCAGGCAATGCAGATGATATTTTACTCCAATTACTAATCATGACTTTCAAAATCAAAAAAGAAATAAAGCCAGATTAATGAAGGTCTATCAAAACTTTAAGCAGATTAAGCTGTGACTGGTTCATTGAGTAAATATAAGCTGTGAAGGTGACCTATTAAGACAAATAAAGGCTGTTATATAAGTCTTGTGGTCTGATCACACCACCAGTCCTGTATCATCCCACCTTCATCTCGCAATATTCTCATTACAAATAGTACATTTCCCATCAGGGATCAATAAAGTGCTGCTTTCTGGCTAGCTATCATATATCAATATTTAATGTTATAAATGGGGAAAAATGTAAAGCTCTTTTAGTCTTTTATCAAAATAGTGGTTCTAAAATGTATATGTATTATTTTATTGTCTCTAAATGTAAAACTTAAAAAGAACAGTGTAAGAGAGGCAAAGTAAAAGTCTTGACATTCTACAAAATATCTAATTATTATATATTCAGCTTGTTGACATTAATTGAGAGGCTGCATGTAATATTTGTAATTTGTAAAAAAAGTCTACTACCTTTATAAAAAATATATTATTTAAAATAATATATATTTTATATATAAAATGTTCAATTATAAATATATAAAACAAATACATATTATGTAGACATACATATACTGTCATGTGAAAAAGAAAAGACACCCTTTTGAAATCTATGGTTTTAAGTATCAGGACATAATAAAACACGATCTGGTCTGAACATATTACACATTTAACAAAACTAAGTACGCCCTATGATTTAATTGCTTGTAAACACTTTTAGCAGAAATAACTTAATGTAATCATTGTCTTATGGGATTTATAATTCTCTCACATCTTTGTGAAGGAATTTTTGCCTAACGTTTCTTCATTTGTTTGAGGCTTGTGGGCATCTGTTTATGCACAGCTCTCTGAAGGTCCCGCCTCAGCATTTCAATTGGGTTGAGGTCTGGACTTTGACTGGGCCAGTACAACGCATTGATTCTTCTTTGTCTGCCATTCTAGTGTTTATTTGCTGGTGTGCTTGTGATAATTGTCCTGTTGCTTGACCCGATTTTGGCTCACATTTGATTCTAGAATAATTTGGTATTGGTCTCCACTATTTTGGCTTTACATTTGTTAAATAAATAATGACACAGTGTTATATGTCATGTCATGTTGTAGTTCATTTGAGATTGTATTAACCTGATTTTCAGACCTGCCAAGAACCAGATGATTTCCTGATACGTAAAGCCATAAATTGTGTCTATATGTGTGTCTCTATATATAGAGAGACCTAAAATAGCACATCTCTCTTTTTCTTTCTCGTCAGCGCTATGTGGATGGTGGCATCAGTGATAATCTGCCCCAGTCGGAGCTGAAGAACACCATCACCGTTTCTCCATTCTCAGGAGAGAGTGACATCTGTCCAAACGACAATTCCACCAGCTTCCACGAACTGCGTTTCACAAACACTAGCATACAAGTCAATCTTGACAACATGTACAGACTGAGCAAAGCCTTATTCCCCCCAGAGCCCAAAGTAAGAACACCAATCACACATTCACATGCCTTTACACAATCACCATCTTACATTATGCCTTTGAGAAATGTGCTTTTAAATGCCTTATGTATTGCTCAGTGGCTGTTAGATGCAGCTTTGGTCTTCCTAGAATATGCACAGTACATTTTCAAATTTCAGATTTCAACATAAGCATAAAATTTAAAGTCGGCTATCTGAGTGAAACAGCTTCTCGAACAAGAAAAAATGTAGGGGAGGACTTGGTTTTGTCCATGTCATCAGAGAAGAGATTAAATGTTGCTACCAGTGGGGAGGGAAGTTGTTTTAATGAAATATTACAAAGGCACGTGAATTAAAAAAAAATTGTTTATGTACACAAATAAATCATTTATAATACATACTACAATATTCCATAAAAAACAAAGAAATATCACATTTAGATTTTATTGTTACCCTAAAACTTATTTACTGTCAGATTAGCAGTCTCACTTTGATGGATCATTTAATTTATTAGTTTTCACCCATTTAATTTTCCATGATCATTTCTATCCGGTTTTAAATGGAGTTCAAAATTAAGTGTAGTAAGGAAATCCGTATTTCCTATTTCATTGGAGTCTCTCATGTTCATATTTATCTAATTAATTTCATTTTTAATAATGAGTTAAATCATGGTCTCTGCATGTGTTTGGCAGGTGCTGGCAGAGATGTGTCAGAGTGGGTATAAAGACGCCTTCCGATTTCTCCAGGAAAACAGTGAGTGCTTTTTATCTTCAGTATCTCTTTATCTCAAATGTTCATTCAGACGTTATGCCAAATGTGATATGCGCTGCGGTTTAGAAGATAACCTGTGATGTCTCTTTATAGATTTGCTACAAGCGGCGTGTCCTAGAGCAGACATGGCTCTGATTCAGGCGTCTCCCACCTGCTGCTGCCCAGGCAATCAGGATCCTGTGGTGGTAGAAACCACAAAAGAGTGGGTGCTGCGGAGACTCCGCCTTTTGAGAAAAGACCACTGGTGGTTGGATGAACAGATTGTCGACAACCTGCCAACGCCCATTAAGAAAGGTAGCACTGAATTATACTTAATCTCAGATATTCCTCTTATTAGCTTTCATGTAGTGCAGGGCTCACCCAATTGACCAAATTCTCACGCTCTCATGCCACTCCGTTATTTATATATATATATATATATATATATATAAGAGAGTTCTATGGGGTCCACCTCAAAGAGCATGCACAGAGAAGTCCAAATTAAACATGATTCAATGAATCGTAAATGTAAGTAAACATTGATGGCATAAGACACGAAATGAGCGGTTTGTGTGAGAAAACTAACAGTATTTATATTGTTTTTACCTCTTGTAATCTCTTGTAAAAGCTCTGTAAAAGTCCAAAAGAAAGAACCGATTCTGAACTGCCGAAAGAGTCATCATTTTTTCCAAATTTGCATAATGGCTGACCGCAAACAATGTATACAATGACCCGAGATGACACTGACGATGACTTTAAAGTGTGACTGTGACTATATTAGTTTTATCTATACTATGTGCATGTGTTAACAGTGTTTTGCGACGCCTGCAGAGAAAAGCATGGTCTACTGGCACAGGTGACTGGTTTGCTGCCGCTGCGCGTGGCCTCCTACATGCTGATGCCGTACACGCTGCCGGTGGAATCAGCGTACTCTGCAGCGCAGAGGTCAGGGACATCACTTGAACTCTCTTGTGGCTCTGTTGATATCTGTATGGATGTCTGAGTGTTGTGTCCAGATGATTTTTTTTGAACTTCGGTTGTGTGCTGTTCATGTTTGAAAGGTTTTGGGAGTGGATCCCAGAAGTCCCTGCAGATGTGCGCTGGCTTGTTGAGGTAGCAGGCGGTGTTTACAAACTGGCTTGGAAAGGTGAAGCGTCAGAGAAGAGCGGGTGAGATCCCTCAGGAATTGTTCAATTGTTACTCTCAGACGTCACAAACCTTTGGCTGAACGTCTGATTTTTTTATTTCAAATGTGTAATCTATTGATTTTAGTGTAGAATTGGAGTAAAATATTTCAATGCTGATAATCTAAATTATATTACACAAATTTTAATGAATCCAAGTTCATTCATTTTGTGTTTGGAATAGATGTGTGAAATATAAGTTATACCTAGAATAAGAAAGATCAATGTTATTACACAAAACAGCCAAAATCAAATTGTATTTAATGTCTTGTCGTCTTTTTTCTTGTGCAGTGGCGCCCCCTTGAGGAGATGTGTGAGTGAACCGCCAATGGTGCCTGTCACAAACTACAACGGACACATACTTCATTCTGCCAGCAACCTTGATGGCTACAACTGGACTTTTCCAGGAGACTTAAATGCGGCTTCTTCTCTAAACCCACCGGACAGGTCTATTAACAACACAAGCCCTTCCTCTGAGCAGATGTGCTTTGTTGTTGGCTCACAAAGTAATGATGAGAAGCAAATGGACCAATGCAGAAACCTTTCAGCTTAGGAACCTATATACCCGACTGCCCTGGTCATTCATATCACATTTAGGGTTAGGAGAGAGAGATGAGCTTGGGTTGGTAAATGCTCTGGAATCCAGCGCCGAGAGTAAATATATCATGTCAAGCACTCCTCTCATGATATTTTGAACAATCTCCAAATGTGCCTTTCTCTATTCACAACCAAAGATGTGTTTTGTAGTTTGATCTGCTGTATCAGCCTTGTGTTTTTCTGATGTGGACAGTGCATGCATGTCAGAGTTTACATTATAATTGGTGCTAGTACTTCTCTAAGACCTCAATATACTTTGATATGTGCCACACAAGTCCATGCCACAAATGTGTACAATCAAATAAACCGTTTGAGCCCATTATTATTGATTTCTTATATTATGCATTAAGGAGCCTTCCATTGTCTCAAATGGTGACATTTGTAAAGAAAATAGAAAAGAAAAGTACTGAACATGATAAAAGACAGAATGTGTTGTTATTAAAGAAGTTCAATATATAAAATAATGTCATTTGTGTATGTGTGTGTATGTATAAAAAAGACACTTTTAGTATTTATATGTTTGCATGGAAAAGCTTTATTTATTTATTTAATTGCAACATTTTCATTTTTAATTGATTTTAATGTGAATATGTGTCTCATTTGACCATATCGTCATTTCACTATCAATATTTGTAAAAAAATATTGAAAAAAAAAAAAAAAAAAAAACTTGGAAAAAGTAATCTTACAAAAAGTGTTGCTTGCGGATTTCTGGAATGCTTCCTTCTGATTGGTCAATCGAAACAATAATAAATATTTTGAGCATAAAACGTTTTATAGATACATTTAACAGAAGTTTAGAAGTTTAACGAATCATCAAAACGTTTGAAATAAACGTTCATTTGTAACTTGGATTTTATTGTAATGATAATACATAAAGCGAAATAGTTCGGTATTGGTCTTGTTGCTGGGTAGATTGCTTTATTCAATGTATTTTTTCAATTAAAAGTAAAATTGAAAAGATAATAAATTATTTTTTATGTGTGAATTATTAAATTGATTTAAATCTTCATTTTATCAGACTTTCCTCTCAACAAACTGAATCAGACGTGCTGGCCCTTTAAACATTTTACCCACAATGCACCGCAGCCTGCACAGTACACACATGTAAGTTGACAGAAAGAAAACCTGAAGAAAACTAGCAAAGAAAGATGCAGAACGGTGATGTGAACGGAGAAGAGGATGAAGAGTATCAGGTCTTCCTCGCTCTGCACAGTCCCGCTTTAAAAGCGGCAAGAATCCCCCCGCTTTACTGGAAGAGTTTGCATTTAAAACTAGCCAATGAGGTAAATTACACAACCACCACTGCTGTGAATGTATATGTGCCATTTTGACAGCGTATGGAAGTAGTTTTATTTTTATGAAACTGTAAATATTCATAAATAGTTGTATTTAAATAATAGTCTTACTGTCACATGAATAAAACCAAGTACCAAGACTACAGTGTTGTTTGAACTTGTATGGGGAGGTAAATTCTTTCTCTTTTAGGTATTTGATGCTGGTGAAGTATTTGGGATTATGCATGTGGAAGAAGAGGAAGATGAGGATGATGAACACAGAGCCAATCCTCAAACTGAGATGGGTTATAAAGTGATTGTGACCAAAGAGAGTGTCCTGCAGGCTGCTGATCCCACCAGGTGAGGACAGCAAAGGGTCGTTTGGCGGAGACTCTTTAAATATATTGGGCTCTCAGTTCTCTGTTATGTAACCAACCCTCCCCTCTCTCACACACTCTCTCTTGTTTAGTCACTATATACACACTACACTACCCAACAGACCATGATGTGTCATTAACCCACATAGGAAAGAGAAAGTTCACCAGGTTCACCAGAGAAAGTTCACCAGAGATGAAAACAGGGTTTTATCTAATCTACAACAGTTTCTTGGCACAAGAGCGAGTAGCATTTTTTTTTTCTGGGGAGAGCATATGGATTGGACACAAATATTCTGGAGGCTATTAATTAGGCTAGACTTGTGTAAGAAATGTCTTTTCTATTTCTCAGCTTTGTTCAGAGTAAATGCTTTGTCGACACATTCCTTTGTATAGTATTTAATGTTATGTAAGTCAAACATCTGTTTTATATTAACAAGGACCTCCATTCCTCCCTCTCCCCTTTCTTTTCTCCTTTACATTGTTATACATTTGAGAGCCTTTCAAGTGTGTGGAAATTTAGATGGATATTGACTATGGACTTATATAAATATTATATAACGTATATATGATATCTGTATGAAGTCATCTCTGATCTTATTGGTCAGATGAGTATAACTCCCACTGTATTTCCAATTTATATTTTGCATGCCAAGTATTAGAAAGCTAAGCTATTTTTCTGGCTCCCCAGTGCCGGTTATTTTCACTTTGTATTGTTCATTCACAACTAAAAGGACGGAGAAAAAAAGGCACTTCGTGGTTGGAAGACTTTTATTTCTAACAACTTGATAAATATTGTATTTATTTGTATCCCGCTGTGAACTCTTGATCCTTCTAAAACATTCCCATAATCTGCTGCAATCAAATATTCCCCTTACCTTTAGATTAAAGATTTAAGATGTCGATTCAGGGTCCTCGGCACCAGTGCCTGTAACCAGTTTAATCTTGGATTCGAATGCACTGGGCATTGCCAATATTTCATTATAAAAATCATGAAATATTGATAAGGAAAAAATACTCTTAGACTTGTTTAAAAGGTTTTATGAATCATCACAACATGATTTCGTTTTATTTTTAAAAAATTAAAAAAAAATCCAAAGTCTTCACCTGAATTGCGCCCCGAAAAAAACAAAAACAAAAAACTCCTCAAGGCTTTTTATACTAACCCTGCTATAGGCTGCTTTCTAATAGGTTGTCATTATAGTACAGCCAATTCCCTTATAAGATTTATTTACTTATGCTTTCAGAAGCACATATTCAAAAATATCTATTTTCTTTTCACACCCATTTTATGCAGCACATGCACAAAAGCTTTATTTGGTCATTTTTTTTATCGCAGCCTTTTAGACCTTTCTCTAGTTTCACACATTTTCTGTGTCTGAGGCAAACGATGAGTTCCCCTTTAAAATTAAATGTGGCTGCGTCTTAGCAAAAAGATCTTCTCCTGCGCCTTTCTCTCCTTGCGTTGTCCCTCCAGAGGTGTTCAACTATAAGATCGTCCATAAAAATCTCAACCTTGTCCGATTACCACCATGGCACATGGTAATTGTATTACAGTGGTGAAGGTTTTTTAGAGTTTTTTTGTGTGCAGACATGTTGATTTTAGTTGTTGTTACAGTTACGTTTGAATGCGTTTACAGTTATGAATTTAGCAAAGTGACTTGCATGTATCAAAGCTATATTTACTATTATTTTTTATTAACTTTTTTATGATCACTTGGAATCAAACCCATAACCTTGCCTTTGCTCTTCTCTATGAACAATAGCAGGAATGCTTGGATTTTTTGGTTGTTTTTAAAATAGTTTTCTGTCTTTTGGTTTGTAGTGTGTTTCTTGTAGATCACGCCTGGACGTACAGGGTGGAGAGCGCCCGACAGCAGCTGCTGGAGATTCCCGGATTGCTGATCCGTATGGCCAGTCTGATGGGTCTGCCTTTCCACGGAGAGGCACCCGATCCGGACATCGTGGATCTCGTCCTGGACAACATGTGGAAATACAACCAAACATATCAGCTTTCCCAAGGGGTAAGAGAAGGAGAAATATTGAAGGGGCTACATGTACGAAAAAAAATTCATTTAATAATAGCCTTTTTTTGCCAATTGCGATGGATTTCCATCTTTAATACCGTTTAATAAAATATCCTGTTCAAGACATTAATATAATCCCGCGGTAACTAAAGAGCCTATCCTTTAGTCGTGTCCTCCAGAGTTAGGTGATCAGTCTATATAAATTTTTATTATATTATAGAAATACTAGACTTCCCCCTTTATATTATAAGTCTCTTCAACCGTGCTCGCACTATAACAACTTGTGCATGTATCCTATACACGTATACATGTTATATATGCTTCCTCTTTGGCTAGGATGTTTGATCAATCAAATATCACAGTGATTATTCTTCTCTCAAAAGAATGATCACCCTCTGAAGTCGTTCTCTTCAGGAAGGGTCCTTCTGGCCCAGTTAGAAAAAAATGACTCTCACTCAATGATCCAAGGTCCAGTCAGATGGTTATAATAAATGTTACAAAATGTATTCAAATAATCAAACGAAAAAGGAATACTTGTTATAGATCATAATTGAATACTAACTAACAGATGGATACTAGCTAGGCTTGAAGCTTCTTGCCCCTGACAACTGCTGGTGTGTCAGGTTGGTGGTCGCGAGAATTTCTCTTTGTCTTCCTCCATATAGTCTTTTCATGCAGCTGGCTTTTGTCCCCTCTAAGTGCACTAAAAGCAACTAATTGAGTGCCGAAGTTATCACGTCACTTTCTAGGCCAAAATGTGGAAGTGAGTTAGCATTTTAGCACTTCCGGTTCCCTCGCCCTAAAGTCTATGGGTTTTTTGAATGGGTTTTTGCTAAATCGCCTGAAATAAGGTCTGTGGTGAACAAAGCCTCTAAATATTTTCATGTTTTGATCTATGACATAAAACACACAGTTATAACCTGCTTGTGCTTTTTAAACTTTATTGTGTGGCTTTTCTTGTGTCTTTATATAGGCTTAAAAATGTATACATTTTGGATTAACTTGTAAAGATTATTTTCATAGACAAAACGTGCAAGGGTCACTCTTCAACTCTTTGTTGAACACAGATCTTTTTTTTTTTTTGCCATTTTTCCAAAAGTCTATGTGGAAAATGCATAGCTTTTCGATCGAGGGAACCCATGCGCCGCTAACTTCCGTGTTGTCCTCCAAAATGACGTCATCACTTAGGCAATCTATTGTCTATAATAAGTAACATGCTTGCATTAGACCGCTGTTGTGGAAAGCAACAAGTGGTTAAGAGATATGAGGTCCCTAGTGTATATGATTAATGGCTATAGCTGAGGAGGAAAGGCTCAAAACACAGTAATATATTTTACATGTTCATAGCTCCTATTAGCTCAGACAATTCCCTTAAACAAGTTTCATTATGCTTTTTATTGTGCACTTTTCTACCTCTGCGTTTGAATACAGAGGTTCTGCTGAAGATTCAGAGAAATTGAGGACAGTGCCATCCTCAAAAAGGCCTATTTTCACAATATGTAAGAAAATTTGTGTAATTATAGCCTTTTTTTTCTAATGTGTGAACAGCTTGTAACGTAACCTAAAAATCGAGACCTTACACGACTTTCTAAGTTGTCCATGAAAGCCTATAGACTGATTTTTATGTGAAGGGTTTTTGTCTTGAAAATCATAAGCATGTGATGTTTTATCATGTTTACATCTCGAGATCCTCTCTTCCGTTCTAAGACACACACAATGAATCCTTATGTTCAGGATAATGCTGAAATAGCCATTCTGTAATGTCATTAAAAGAAAAGGAATTCATTCAAACTATACAGTAGTCTCGGTCGCATAACCAGATACTGTATATAGACATGATGCTGGTGAACAAGGGTTTCTGAATTCTACATATACCCCTTTAATCTATCTCTAAGTGTGAGATATGATGTTGCTCCTGATTGTGATTTGATTATAACAATGCTGTTGCAGTCTGCAGAAGAAAAGGTGCCTGTGTGGTACATCATGGATGAATTTGGATCTCAGATTCAGCACTCTTCCCAGCCGACCTGCTGTTTGGCTCCTCTGTTCTACTCTCCGCAACAGATCGCTTACTCCGTGCTGTGGCCACTGCAAGACCTGGAGAATGGAGGTATGCAAACACTAAAACAAGTACAAAATCAGAGCAAAGAAACAATATAAGAATAGTTTTGCATCTCAACTTTCTGTTATACTTTAATATAAATGTAATGTCAGATGCTAGATACCAAAACACAGAGTACACCACACTCCAAACAATATATAAATGTCTTTTCCTAAATTTATTCATGAGTGTTAGACCATCTGTCTTATAATTTAGGTCATGAGCTAAAAGCTAAGGAATGTTCAAGGATGCCTGATGTCTCCAGCATAGATAAGGAGAAGGGAGGGAGATAAATGATATACACAACACACACTGAGAGTAGGTGTTTTATTCTCACAGTGAGTAATGGTTTTGCAGGATTCCCTCTGCAACATAATATATAACACGAACATGCAATTCAAATGATCCCGATGCTGTATGTAAATTAGCTTGACTCTTTAACAAAACAATCTGCAGTCAAATGCTCTGTAAAGAGACGCTCATTTGTGGATAAATTGAGTGTTACGATTTTTTTGTGTATAATGGAGATTGTGATTCTTCCACGATTCTGAAAAAAAAAAAAACTTTGGAGAAATAAACCTAGAAGGAGGTGCAATGGATCTAAATATTTGCTTTGTTTTCACCAGTTTTCAGTTTCAGTTTTCTAGCTTGCTCTTTTTTTTCTGTAGATCATTAAACCATTACGCTGCCTCAGAAATAAGTTTTGTGAGGTGCCTTTGTGCACAAATGCTCTCTGTGAACTGTGAAGTCATTGCCGGATAGGGCATTGATCTGCCAAGTTTTCGGAAACAGCCTTTTTCTAGTATGAATGGCCTGTCTTTGTCTACACTGATAACAAGCTTCCAGAAACTTGTTTTCTTAAGGGAGAGCAAACTCAATCTCCAGGTGTCTGCATGATTTTGTAGCTTTGTGCCAGGCACGCTGTGGTGGGATAATTCAGCTCTCTCCAGCATTTCCTGATGGATTCTCCCTGTAGGATTTTAGCAGAAATAATTAGACTGTGTTTATGTAGGGCTCTTTACTTTTATCACAATGACAAATCTACATTAGAGTGAACAAGATTTGTTTTTAAGAGTCATTTACTGAAATAAACCAATATCTGTTGTACTGATATTGATATCTGATTTGAAAAGTTTTTAGTATTTAAAGTAGAACCACCGTTTTGTCATGTGCATTTGGATATATTAGGCATTTCTGATGAATCTCTTAATGGTTTATATATTCACTAATGTGTCACACTCATTTTTCGTTGGCTTCTTCTAATCTTGTGATTCTTTGAAAATAAAAAAATATGAATTATGTTTCGGGAACTGGGTTATTATCGTTAAAACTATTAAAAACATTTCTATTAATTTAAATAATGCTGAAATAAAATATTTTTTGTTTAGTAAGTTTAAGTTTATGATGCAAGGAGGAGATCCAGTCAGGTGATAAAATCTATTTTATTTTCTTATCAGCAGACGATCAAATAATAAATAATATTTCATCCATAATCAGGATTAAAAGTTTAATAAAGAAACATAACATGAACCGTGACCTTGTATTCGTGACTTGACAAAAATAAATGTGCGACTAATATGTGACTGAGACAAAGGGCCTTTATTCAAGGGTAGGAGGATGGAACGTGTTTTTTATGATAACATAGAGGAAGTAACAACTAGAGAACGGAGGATGCAACAATGTGTTAGTTATGGGTCATGTCTCTTCATTTAGAGACTATAAAGAAGAAAGAATGCCCTCCCTTCTTTGTCACACTCTGCAGGCACTCTGTAGACCTTTTCTTGCAAGAAAAAAAAAGACAATTCGTACATGTTTGTATCTTATTCAGTGAGGTAAAATTGTTACATTTTCATATACATTTTATAAAATGTCTCAATTCCCAGATTGGGATCTCCCCAAAACTCTTTCTGGCTTTGTCATTATTGTTCTGTATCTCCTTTCCTCCAGTTTAGCCTGCATCTCCAGTCTCCAGTCAGGACCCCTTTCTCTTTCTCTTTCCCTCCCCTCTCGTCTGACTAGATCTTTTCCAGATGTTCGGGGTTTTTCTGACCTCATGAGACCACGGTCTCATTTTTCTTCTCGTGCTGAGGCTTCAGCTTTGTTATAGGACATCTTTGTGACTAAACTTAACTTACAAAACAAAATTTTCAATGGAATAAGGCCAATTGACCAATTAGACGTTGTCTTTATTTGGGGTGTAACTATTTATCCTTCCATCACATTAATCAACGTTGTCTTCTCAGTCACATGGTTCCATATAATTCTGCTCTTGCAGTGTATATATTTTAGTAATGATTTCTATAATGAGAATATGATGCATTTATCCCCAGAACTGATTAATATCAGCATTTGCGATTTAACGAATTCAATTAACAATCTGTTGTGGACATTTTGTACCTACAGTAGATCTTAAATAAATAACAATTAACAAGTATACATATTTATTTCTTGCAAGAAAGGCAGTTCACACACTGACAGAGTCTGATATGAGAAGGGCAAAAGTCTTCTCCCTTTACAGAGTTCATATACCCAAAAGATCCCCCTCCTCTTCTTATCTTGGGACTAAGGCTCCTGCACGTACACAGGGTTTCAGTTCCCCTAACCAAACATGTCTTGCGCTTTCTCTCGCGCCTAGTCTTATGTTATGCGCTTATGTTGGGGAAATCTGCTTGTTCTAGTTCTAGGAAGAATGTGACTCGCACTCAATGATCCAGTCAGAGATGATTATAATAAATGTTTTATAATAAAGATTTTCAACAGAATTTATTAAAAGAATCAAACGCAGAGGAATACTTGTTACTTGTCATAAATGAGTACTAACTAACAGATGGATACTCTTGAAGCTTCTTGCATCTGACGACTTATGGTGTGTCAGACTGGGATTGCAAGGAAGAGCGAAGAGTCCCTCTTGGTCTTCTTCTTATATAGTCTTGAATTCGGCTGGATTTTGTTCCTGCAAAGCACATAAGTAAATAGCTAGTGTCTAACTGCCTTTAGCGACATGCCTTTAGAAAGAGACCGGAGATAGGAAGTCCCTCATGCATATGACTAATAATGACTCATGGCTGAGATGTATAGAACAGAACAAAAGCTCCTCTTACAGCAGCACATTTTAAATAGCCAGTTCCCTTACACTGGCTATAGCACACTGACCTAAGGGTTTCTTTACGACCTTTTCTGTATTTGCGTCGAGATGGAAGCGAGGAACATGCCATTCGCTCTCTCTGTATGTTCACATCTGTTTTTTGTTATCTGCATATGTGCTTCCAAAGTGTTTTGGTACTTTTGCAGGAGGTAAATGCAAAGACGGTGGGATTCTCTCCTCCTTTATTATAGCAAGATGGGTCAGGGGGATTATTTGTGGGCCAACAAGGAAAAGAAAACCAGAAACCTATTTATGGACTAATTATTCTCTGTATCATGTTTTCTGAAAAGGATTTGCATGCAGGTATTCTGGTCATTTTATTCATCAGGAGCACTCTCTGTATGTTTCATCAACCGTTCATGTTGGGATTGCGGGTTTTCCTTGGTAGCTGTTGTGTCTGAGACACAAATTTATTCAGTTTGCATGTGCTTTTGCATGCCTTTTGGCTTAGAGAAGAATATTTCCTGATCGGAAATCAAGCATACCACCTTTTGTTTCACTCTGGCTTAGTTATGGGATGCTGTTTTTGAAATTGGTCTCTGTAAGATCAACCAAACGTTTTTTTATTAGGTATGGACTCGATTACTACTATTATGAATTCTATTATCTATTCTATTACTATTATGAATTATTAGAATTCAATGAATTCTATTACTATTATCATTACTACTACTTATGAATATTAATAAAACAATAATAATACTCCTAAAAGCAATATTAAATGATGAGCCTATTTATTGATTTTAAAAAATAAAAATGTACTGACCCCAAACTTTTGAAGGGCAATGTAAATTATCAGCATATAATAATAATTTAATTAAATAATAATATACTGGTGATTTGTGGGTTTGTAGACGTATATCTCAGTACATGTTCTGGGCCAAATGTGTCAGGAAATTCTTAGTCTCAATGCATAAAGGAAAGAAGCTGCTCTTAGTCCTACATGCAAGATGTATTTACTGCAGACATGATAGTTAAGATAATATATTTAATCACTATAACAAAAACATGTGTTCTACTGTGGTCTATTGGAAACTTTAGACTTCTGCTCATATCCTACAGAATGAACTCTCAGTCAAGAGACATCAGGATTAATAAGTAAAAAGAGCATTGAACATACATTTCAAATGATGATAATGATAAACAAACTATATGATTAATTAGATTTGATTAAATGATTAAACATAAACAAGACCTATAGAAATGTTCCTTTTTCTGCTTTTCCTTGCTCTTTTAAGTCAAGCAACTTTGGTTGATTCTTACATCTTTAATGGGCACGTCTGTCTTTATTGACTGGCTGTTTTAGTGAGCGGGTGCTCAACCTCATCCTTTTTATCTCTTGAATGACAGGATCAAATAGATTCCAATCTCTATGACCTTAACGCTCCCTTGGGAACAAAGGGGATTATACCTCTGTGGAATGACTCAGGCCACTTTAGGCTGCCCCTAGGCTGTGAAGATAAGCATGCTTCACTTGTCTGCGCATCATGATAAAAGGCAGATCAAAGATGCTCATTTGAGTCCACCAGTCAGAAATTCAAGTGAGAATGGGAGAAATGGCAACCCTAAACAAATATTAAGATCAGATGTTAAGTGGGCTTTTCACATTCGAACGACACGTTTGACTTTCACTATCCACAGGAAACAAAGGAGATCATCGTTCACACCATTTTACTGGTCTTTTACTGCTTGGTGCTTAAGCCGTCTGCCGTCCGAGTAAAACCTGGCTTGTGAAAGTGATATAGTGATATATGAGCTTGATGTGATTTGATATTCAGATTTTAACATGAGATAAGTAGAAGTTAGTTAGTAGAAATTATTAAATATTTTGCTGCAAAACGTATATTTCTCAGCACACATGAAAATATGTGAATCAAAGTTCTGTTCATAGTGAGTTCTCCACATTTCCTAAATCCATGGAAAATAAGAGGATGCCACCTCTCATTAACTTGGCTTACAGAAACACCAGTACCTATTGCCTTATGGAAGGCCAGTTTACATCATTTAGGTTAACGGTACACATAATTTTAATTTGAAAATGTGGATAATTAAAGACATTTTCATTTTTGGGTGAACTATCCTTTAACTCACTCTCAAGTTGTTTCTAACATGTATGTATTTCTTTCTTCTGTTAAGCAAAAAAAGAAGATATGTCTGTAACCAGACAGTTCATGGGGCCCCATTGACTTCCATAGTATTTATTATTATTATTATTTTTACATACTCATCTATTTCCTCTGATTCTCCTGAAGGCTGTTGTTTTGACATCCTCACATGGTTATCATATACATATACAACCCCTGTAGACACAACATTAGATAAAACATAGACACTATATTTTTTCCTTCAAGGCTGAGTGGCAGCACATCACTGGAATACATCCACACAAAGCAAACTTGAGCTGATATAAACTACTACTTAAGATTCATTGTCACATTTTAACATGTGTGCGTTCACACAGCAACTGATACGGTTGTCATTTCTGTACTTGAGTCCTTAATACAGTTATGTTGTTCACACACAGTTCAGTTGTTTATAGGAGTGACAATCACATTCTATAACTGAATCGAACATTTCAAGACTCAAACCTGTATTTCAATCCATATTAATGTAGCCATATATTGCTCAAACTGATGCAACAAATATTTTGTTTCTCAGTTGATGAAGTTCAAAGAAAAAAAGAATAAGTTGAAAGAAACAAAGAAGACGAATGCAATACGTCTACCTAGACACTTCATACTAGGCTAGAGTATGTGACAGAGAAGTACCCGTTGTGATGGATTTTCACGATTAATACTGTTATAAATGATAAAATATCCCGTCCTTGATATTAATATAATCTCGCGGTAACTAAAGAGCCTATCCTTTAGTCGTGTCCTCAAGAGTTAGGTGATCAGTCTATATAAATTTGTATTCTGTTATTGAAATAATAGATTTCCCCTCTATATTATAAGTCTACCCTTTTGGTACTCTTCAACCGTGTTTGCAATATAACAACTTGTTATATATATCCTTATACATACACACATGTTATATGGTGCCTCTTTGGCTAGGCTGTTTGATCAATCAAATATCACAGTGGTTATTCTTCTCTCAAAAGAATGCTCACCCACTGAAATCGGTGTTTTCAGAAAGGGCCCTTCTGTCCCGATGAGAAGACTTCAATGATCCAAGGTCCAGTTAGATGATTATAATAAAAGTTTGCAAAATTTAGTACGATAATCAAATAAAAAATTATTACTTGTTACAGATTAAAATGAGTACTAACTAACAGATAGATACTAGCTAGCCTTGAAGCTTCTCGCCTCTGACAACTGCTGGCATGTCAAAGTGTTGATTGCGGGAAATGAATCTTCCTTTCTCTTTTTATAGTCTTTTTATGCTGACTTCCCTCTAAGCACACTACATGTTTGCAAAGCAAGACCATTGTCTCAGACATGAGGTATGTACAAAATAGCTGATGCAGAGTAATAAAAAAGGATATTTCATAATTAGCAATGTTCTTAGTAGAAAAGCACAGCCAATGCCATTCTCGGATGGGCCTATTTTGACACTGTTGAAAAGCATAGATTATTTCAACCATAATTGTAACTTTTTAAAGGTCATGTGAATGTCTAGCAGGTCACAGTGGCATGTCAAGGTGCAGGATAAATTTGAACAACAAATGTGGTTTCGACTCCAGTCTTAAGTGATCACTATCCCTGGGCCCAAGCAAATGTGAATGAGTTCCTATTAAATCTTTGCATAAATATAACATTTTACAGCTTTACAGCTATCATGAGAACAGCAAAATAAGAATAAAACATCAAACTTTAGAACTTTTGATTCATTTGCATGACGATCAAATCCGTTAATTACAAAATAACTGCATATTTCTGTAATAGCCAGATTAAATAAATATAAACTGAAGATCTGGCAGATAACAAAATACAGATATTTTCCTTAAATTCATTGCATACATTCTGCTATTAATGTATGCAATGAATTTAAGGAAACTATGATTTCCATCCATTAAATAATAAAAGATTTTAATTCACCTCTTCATTATAAAGATGTTTTATTCAAATTTCTGCCTTTGATTTGATTAGAGTTATGACATTTGTGACATTAATCAGAGGAGGTGACGCGTGATTTTGCATACGGAGAAGGAGACGCTTTAGTGAGGAGATGCCGTCTGTTGCCATGGCTACCCGATGACCTTGAGGCAGTGAGCAATGACATCCGGGAACCGTCTGACCTTTACTATGAAGTGAGTGAATTTAATCATCTTAAAAATATTATTTGGAAGTGTTACTTTGTCTATGTGGCATCTTATTTGGTTGTTGGCATTCCTACTTGTAATATGTCAGACTGTTTCGCTGTTTTTGTGGACCTCTTTTTGATCCAAAAAATCAAAAGTACCATTTTCTCTCTACACCACTGAACTTTTCCAGACGATTCTACAAGAGAACAAAGAGACGCTTCCTGTGGACATCCAGCCTTTTGTTGTACCAGATGGAAAAGTTTTAAAGTAAGCCTTTATGTTGAATGTCAAGTATTGTTTCATTGTGGTCTTTGCCACTCTAAAGTCTTATTTCCATTTCATAATTATTTCTACATTATTTTGTAGAGTATAAAATACATTATGTGTATTTAAATAGCTGTGTGTGTGAGTCAGAACGAGAATGAGGATCTGGAACATGTCTCTGCATGCAACTTCATGAACGACTATAAATCTTGGGTCACTGTGTGGGCAGTTGAGTTCTCTATCTAGATCCTTCATTCTCCAAGGCCAGGGAGGTTTACAAAAACTGCATGGCATTAAAGGGTAATGAAATGGTCAGGCATTTTTTTTTTTTTTTGCATGACCTAAGGTGAACTTTTTTACTGTTTTAAAGAGGTCAAACTCCCGTATGCCTTATGCACCACCCGACAGACCATAAAGAGTTCAAAATGTCTTAGAATAAATGGTGCTGATTGTATCTTAGCTGAACATCTTGCAGAAATGACATGTCTGTATTGTGTATGGTATTAAGATTGATGCATTTCTGACACCTCAGAAGATTTATACATTTTCTGACACCTTCAGACAATGTGTGCTTGGCCCCCCTTTCCTGGTGTGAAACCACAGGGGACTGAAACGTCCCTTGCAAGCATACATGCTCTTATCATATGAAAAGAGGAACTTAGTCCGGTGCTTTGAAGCATCTGCATAAGAAGGAGATTATTTTCTGTAATTGTCAGTCCTAACCCTGCTCCTTCACAACCTGTCTTTTCTCAGAGAGCTCTCTAAAACAACGTACCTTTAAGCAAGAATATTATACTCAAGAGTGGTTTTGAATTATATTTTCCTTAAGAGATATTACGAGTCATATTAACTGTTCATTCTTAAACTTTTAATCCTGTTTATGGATTAGTTAATTTTACTTCATTTATTATTCGAAATGTCTGCCGTGAAGAAATAAATTTGACTTAATCCTCTGACTGGATCTCCTCCTTGCATCAGTTTTGGGAACGAGAGGCCTCGACTCATCACATATATTCTCTTAATAGCAGAATGAGTGTCTCAGGTCACCATATGTGAGCACATTGCATTCTCTTACAGGCATCTGCACACACACATACTGTCAAAAACATATATATAATAGAATAACAACTCAACATAAATGGCTATATTCACATTGATCGCACCTGATTAATTTACATTCTGAAATATTCCATAGTATTCAGTTTGTCTTTTCTTGTATGCACAAATCAGGGTCTACACTGAGATGAAGCAAGTTTTAGACCATCTGAAACATCCACGTTTCCAATTCACTGAAAACGAGGAAGAGGCTGACATAATCTGGACCTTCTCCCATATCCGAGAATATCGGTGAGCAGCTTTACACACACACATGCACACTTCGATCCTATCCCTAAACCTAACCCTCATGCAAACATTTTCTGCAATTTTGCATTTTAATTTAGACATTGTTTTACTTGATGGTGTTTTTTACCCTTGTTGAGGATGGAAATGTTCCACAATTTGGGCAAAACCTGGCCCACACACTTTAGTCTGTCTCCCTTGGCAATTGGTGATCTGTTACTTTTCTTGTTGCACTTAATTACTTTTGTTTGATCAACTGACTAATAGGAAACTGAGTGAGGAACGGCCTCATGTGCTGCTCAACCAGTTCCCCTGTGAGACGGTGCTGACCACTAAAGACTGCCTGGCATCTGTGGCACGGAGAGCCAGGGGAGGTCAGGGGGCTCCGTGGCTCCCCAAGACCTTTAATCTACAGACTGAGCTGCCTCAGTTTATCCAACATTACCTGCAAAGACAGGAGAGGTGAGCGTCTGTCCGATCAGTGCTGCAAAACTAATTTGTAACAGATTGTGGTAATTCTCTCAAACTATGTTATCAGACTAAACGTGCTAGGGTAAAAGAGAAACGTCCAGGAGTCTATTCAGACAGCGACTGACTGAACAGAAAAACGCACACACATTACAATGTTGCGCAGAATAGATGTCCTTGTATTTGACTGGTTACATCAACAGTTTCCCATTGTTAGCCACTTCCAAAAGTCTACTCTGGTATCGAAGTGGCCAGGTGCCTTTTGCTGTCAGGTCAGAATTTCTGGATAAACATCCCTTCTAGCTCATTTAACCTATACCAGTAAATCTAGGTGTATCCCTACATTCATGTGAACCAATAACTCATTACTAACAACAACCATTAATACAATTCATACTCACCCTCCGTGGAGATACTTCCGTGGAGTCCTGGTGACCTCTTGCTCTCGCAAGAATTGATCTAATGCTCTTATTGTTGCTTATAGAACTGGTATTGTGACCTGGGGTAAAAAACTATACCACTTTTGTCTCTATAAAATGAAAATTTATTTATACAAACGATTATAACACTGGTTACAAAATGTGTGGTAATAGTAGCAACAAAAGAAAAGGTTACAGATTATAATTCCTCAGTATCTCCCAACTTAACAGGGCAGTCCTGTATAAGTGGTTCAGTCACAAAGGTTTTAGCATACACAGTTCAAGCATCAAATGAAAATTTAACCTTGTCTTGTTAAGAGCATGTTAAGTTAACATCATACAGCTAAGCAGTTAGATCAAAAAGCTTTTCCAGCAAGCTGGACTGAAGAATGATTACCTTCAGGGATGCACGCAAAAATCTTGAATCAAGATGCAACAACTAACACTGAAAAAGCAGCCTTATTTATACTGGCTGTGTGACACAATCTTTTAGACCATCTGGGTTTTTCCAACAGATAACACTTGCGACACAAGAGTCATGCGACTCCTAGTTCCTCTTTGGAGACTTCCTGAGCAGACACACTTCTCCCTGAGTGTGCATTTTTCCTCCCTTTACGAGTCTTGGGTTTTCTGAATGTGTGCATGCATATAAGTCCATATGTGTTTTTGTAAATTCATTAAAATCTACATCCTGCCGTACATTGCGCAGAATAGATTTCCTTCTATTTGACTGGTTACATCGACAGTTTCCCATTGTTAGCCACTTCCAAAAGTCTTAATCATATAACAGATCTAATTAAAGCATCTTGCTCCACTTACTTTTGTGGCTGTTGTTAGACGGCCTTTTGAACTTCCTAAAAATTGCACAATACTTTTTGAAATATCGTATTTCACTTTCAACATAAGAATATAGCCCAGGGTTCCCACTGGTCCTTGAAAGTTTGTAAGTCTTGATTATTATTTTTTTTCAAGGCCCTGGAAAGTTCTTGAAAATAAACATGCATAGATAAAGGTCCTTGAAAGTGCTTTTAATTTATTTTGTGCAAGAAAAACCCGGTCCGCTAATGTGTTATTTCGCCAACACTTCGTGGCCTATGCACCAGTGATGCGCGGGTCAATGCATAAACAACCCGCACCCGGTTTTCAACTAACCCGCCCGCAACTCGGACCGAAAAAAAAGAAAGAAAATATTGTACCCGACCTGCTTCCTGACCCGCATTTTTTAAAAGTAGTTGCTCATCTTAGCATCATTGAGCCATAAACGTATAACACAAATGTGCTCATTTTGGATCAACCCACGCATCACTGCTATGCACACTTGCTTGATTTGCGTTAGTTGCGCGCATTTACGCGTGAAGGGTTAAGTCAAGTGTTAAACTACTACAAAGGTACCTTAAAGGAGAACTCCGGCACAAAATTAACCTTTGGTCTAATAACACATTGGTACCTAGTCGACCGTTCTCTGTTTCCGTGACTGGATACAAAGCAAATGATCATTATTAATCGATTTTAGTCCAATATGAAATTCTGCATAAAGGATGGTCCTAAGATGAAGTCTCAAATATCAAGCTCATGTAGTCTGTTATTATTTGTAGTGTATAATGTGTCGATGATAATTTCAGAGGACTGGACAACCACTGGATCTGCAAACCTTGGAACCTGGCCCGCGGTCTGGACACACACACCACGAACAACCTCAATTACATAATCAGACAGCGAGAGAGCACCCCAAAGGTATACATACACACTCACACACACACAAGCCTGTTATTCCACTTTCTGTACTGAGTCTGAGCCTACAGAATTAGATTAAAATACAGCTTGAGAGTTGAAAGAAGAAAATACAGCTTGAGAGTTCTCCCAAACATTTGGTCAACATTTGCTGGCCTGTTGTTACAAGTGTGACAACTTACACCTTTAAACTGTAATGGAGTCTGCTGAAAGTCTTTTGGAAAGATTGGCAATTAAACAACAGAACAATGCATTTAACACACAGTCAAAAATTAAATCTGTCATGGTCTATTGAAAGAGCAGCACAAAAGATGGCCTGTTGTACTCCAGAAAAGAAGGCTGGTAGTAAGTCATGGGAGGGCTGGAGTCCCTCTCTCTATGAGTCTCCCCTGAAGGCTTAGTCTCTTTCACGTGCTTTATAAAACATTTGATGGTCACTTCGGGCAGAATAAGACAGAAAACAGTATCTTCGCCCTTCAGGGTTAAATGTCTTTTGGACTTAGCTGGAATGCATGACCTCAAATAGTCCCACGGCACTGAAACAAAGTAACTCTTTCACACAGACCCGAGGAAGAATGAACTACTTTACATTTATTGCAAAATAAGGATAATAATGAAATCACAGAATAAAATCAGCTATGCAAAAAAGAAAGACAAGGCTCTTGCCATACTGTTTCTTTTATAATTGAATCATTCTCTGAAACTTCTTTCTGACCTACCAGTTGTTCACTCCTTGTCGTCTACGCTGTTTTTGCCTTCTTTGTATTATTTGACGACATTGCTTTTACTTGTGGTTTTCACCCTTCATATTTACCACCTTGTGCCCTTTCAGCAACCTTTGTTCTCCAAATTAATGGTCACTACATAGCAAATGATTTTTAAAGACAAAATCAACTGGCATTTTGTTGTGGAGATAAGTCTTCTCAATCATGCAAACGTAATCCTCAAGATGCAGAGTTCCAGAAGTCAATAAGACTTTATTGGACAAGGCTGAATGGAGTAATGATGCTGAAAGTTCAGCTTTGCATCACAGAAATACATTAAATTTTACAATAAATTCAAATAGAAAAAGTTTAAATTGTAATAATATTTCACAATATTACTGTTTTTTTAATCAAATATTTTTGTAGCCTTGGTGAGCATAAAGGGATTTCTATCATAGAGATTTTCTTGCAGAAAATGCGCAGAGTCGAGGTTTCAGATCTCAGAAGAATAACTTTATTGAGCAGTTCAACAAAGTGACATGGTGGCCAGAGCATCTGAAATTAAGTTGGTCTGAACTCCCCATATTATACTCTTTCCTTGTCGGAGCTGTCCAATTGGTGCCTTTACTCTTATCTCTTCTCTTCTGCTCCACCTCTCTATTTCGCTACCATTATCATTTACTCAACCTTATTTTTGTTTTAACTGCGGCGAAGCATATGCTCACATGTTTTTTAAAAAAACTAATAAAAACTAATGACCATGAGCACTTAGGCACATTCTTGCACGTTTAATTGTATAACATGAGTGGATTCATGGATACGGCCTTTCATCCCCTGACCCCTGCCCTTCAGATGCTTTTAGGCACTTACACAAACATGACCCTTGCCTTTCCAGTGCTTTTAGGCACTTACACAGAAACAGACATGTGTATTCTTCTTTAATGACTAAGACAAGTAGATTTCTCCAACAAATACAGTTGTCAGTCCTGTATGAGTCCTTAATTCCGTTACGTTCACACACTGTTCAGTTATTTACAGTAGTGACAAATGCATTCTATAACCAAACCCATACCTGTACGTTTTCAGGACAAACGCATTCTCAGAAACCCCTTGCTGTGTGAACCGAACCGGACAACTAGTTTTCTGTTACTCATACAGTGTGAGATTCGCTCTGTGCTGCACAAATGTGTGTGTGCTATGTGTTGCGGGTTTTCATATGTGGTTTCGGTGACTTAAAGCAATAGAGATATGAGTTGTGTGTTACATGAAGATTTTAGATGCAGTCACTGTTCACTACCAGACCTCCTGCCATCGGTTTTGTGTTCTACACTTGCTCCACTCCCCACCCAGAAATAAAAGCTGCTGTCAGGTATAGACGATTTGACAGATGAACCCGCGGCTCGATTGGACTCTTGACGTATCTAAAGTGATAAGACTTTTCAGATTTATGGATGTCGCCATCTTTGATATTACTCTCGATCATTGGTTACCGATAAGATAAGACAGGCTTGACTCCCATTGCACGTTTATAAGTTAATGTGTGAACAGAATATTTGGAGACTCAAAACCCACTCTAAAAACTGGCGTTGTGAACAAAGCCTAGTGTGATTTGATGTAGACGTCTGTGAAAATTGCAAAAGCAATGACATCTGATGACATTATGTTCCTTCACACCTATGATGACTTGAACCTGTGTGTGTCTCTCTCAGGTGGTGAGTAAGTATTTGGAGGACCCCGTGCTGTTTCACAGAGATGAGGTGGGCATGGTGAAGTTTGACATCCGCTACATGGTGCTGCTGCGCTCTGTGGAACCGCTGCGTCTTTATGCATATGACGTGTTCTGGCTGCGTTTTGCTAACAAGTAAACCTCCACACACATTCGACATCCTTTAGATCCTTTATCTGAAAACCCTTTGTTCAGAACTAATCGTATAAATGGCAGGTGGCTTAAGTATTTTATGACAGTTGAAATAGCTCCAAAAACAGTGGGAAACCAGGTCACCTAAAGCGGTCAGGGAGATAACAGAGCTGTATGTCCTGATGCTTACCATGAATTTAGCTTGATGAATAGAATGAGAAAACGTGAAAGAATGAAAGTATAAAGGTATTAAAAAATATTTGATTATATGTGATTGTGTTTTATTTGTACTTTTAGTTCATCATGAAATCAGCAAACATGTCTATGCGTTTACATTAATCATACAGCATCCTGTCTGCATATTTTCATACGTCACTGCATTACAATGCTTGTCTTTCTGTCCAGGCCTTTCTCGCTGGATCACTTTGACGACTATCAAAAACACTACACAGTGATGAACTACGCCGAAGACGTGCAGCTCAAACAAGTACAAAAACTCTCCTTAGGGTTTATGCTTAGGTCTGTAAGGTTAATCTCAGATGACCAATGTTTTTATTTCCCCTCAGATTCATTATGATGAATTTATCCCCATGTTTGAGAGCCAGTATCCACAATATCCATGGAAACAGGTTGAGGTATGACTTCACATTTTCCATACAGTGGTCCTGTTGTGAAATATGCTCAGGATTGGTTACACAAATTCTACACATCCTACACAGTGTTCCCACTTCAGGTTTCACTTCCTAATTCTTCCGTTTATGAACATATTGAAGCCAATATTCAATCATTGTATCCAATGAAAGTCATCTTTGATAATCACAATTACATATGTAAATGTTTTTTTTCCTGTGAAACATGCCTTAAAATAGCTTGGATGTAACTCAACACCCTTGCTTCATTTAGTATATTAGGATCTATGAAATTAGTCATTCGTGTTTCAATGGTCACTTCCAAGGCTTGTTTGGGCCTTTTCAAGGAGGTTTTGGCACGTGGTATGACTATGGACTATGGACTTTTTCTAGTCCAAAGTGGGCCATTTGGGGCTTGGGGAGGGGTCATGAACAAAGGCAGTGTTTATCTGGAGAGGGTCAACATAGTTGCTCATTTCCCTTGTTTTTCATTTCAGGCCACCAGCTAACCTCAGAATTTAAGATGTTTAAAACAAAATGAAAGAATAGAACAAAGAATAGGGAGGAAGAGAAACACACACAACTCTCAAGGTGAAGTTACTCCAGACAGTTACTGTTATCTGCCCTTATCTGTCCAGTGAACATTCACATGGGGAAGGGAAGAAACTAGAAAGGAGTCTCTCAGATCTTGACCTGTGATCGTAAGCACTTAAATCATCAGTGAACGCAAGAAAATGTGCATACTTGGGTGTGTGTAAGTTCATATAGCACTTCTTGAAGAGACAAAAGAATTAAAAAACAACTGATGCAAGGAGATCCAGTCAGATGATAAAATCAATTTTTATTTCTCAGCAGCAGATGATCGAAATAATATTTCATCTATAATCATGAGTAAGAGTTTAATAAAGAAACATAACTTCTAATACTTCTAAATAAAATATAAGTCACACTCCGAGTATAATATTCTTGCCTATAGAAAAGCAAAGTTGTCGAGAGATCTCTCTTGCAAAGAAAAGGTTGTAAAGGAGCTACGGTCTGAGTCTAAAAGAGGGTTGACTATACACAGATAATATTTCTTCCTTTTTATACAGTTCATTTAGATGAGCAAAACCAATTTCCTTTTTCAATTGCAAATTGAAACTAGATAACCTCACCAGACACAACTGCAAGATCCGATATCTGGCCTTTGTGGTTTAGCGGTCCCTAGGGGGAAAGTATGGTTTGTCATATCATGGGTGTCGCTGGTAACAACAAACTAACCAATCAAAGTCAAAGTTGTTGTCAAGGTTACTTTAGAGTCGTCGAAGGGCAATTATTTGTACAGCCAGCAGAAAAACACAAGGCACAACATTACCACAAGGTATAAAGCACACATAGTCTCTAAAAATACATAGTACATTATAAAAGTACATTAAAGCAGTTCTGACAATTTATTTAATATTGAGATCGAAGTCGGGATAAAAGAGTTTCTAGATCTATTTGACCTGCATCTGGGCATGGAGTACCTACGACCTGAGGGGAGTAGCTTAAACTGGCAGGACAAATGATGGCTGGGGTCAGCTGCAATAGCTAGAGCCTTCTTGGCTACTCTGTTGGAGTAGATGTGGGAGAGGGGAGGGAAGTTAATACCTGCAATCTTGCTACGTTCTAACAATGCTCTCTAGTCGGTTTTTGTTCTTTGCAGACAAGGAACCAAACCAACAGATAAAACATAAAGTTAAAACAGACTTTTCATCAGAGTGGGTCAATGTTATAATTCCTCAATCTATGAAGAAAATACATTCCCTTCTGGGCTTTAGCACAAACAGCGTCAGTGTGAGAATCAAAACATAGCTTACTGTCAATTGTTGTACCAAGGTACTTGTATTCCTGTACCACCTCGATGGGCTGGCCATCAATGATAGTGAGGGGGAGACATGGGCTCTGTTTCCTAAAATCAATAATTAGTTCTTTCGTTTTGGACGCATTTATGTTTAAAAGGGACTTTAAATTGTGGTGTAAGTGTAAGTGTCATTGTGCAAAGTTATTTGTTGTTCTTTTGAATGTTGTTTGTTGCAGGCAGATGTCTTTAAAGCGTTCTCGGAGCTCTTCCAAGCAGCTTCCTGCCGTCCTGCTCCATACGGGATCTGTGCGAACCCCTCCTCCAGAGCCATATACGCCATTGACCTCATGCTGAAATGGGACCAGACGGTGGGAGGTACATCCTAGACGCTCAAAACACACTCCCCTATATTAATGCTACATATATTTCAGATTAGAACACCTTTTACTTTTTTGTTTTGGAGAGAAGTACAACAACAACAACAAAAAAAAAACATGAAGGTGTTATTTAGTCTAAATACACGTGTAATCAGCAGAAAATAATTTGACCGTGAGATTTGAATTGCCTTGTTTTGTAGTGGTAACATAATGAACATAAACAAAACATGGTGACCCGGAGCCAAAATAAATTCAGAGCGAGGACATGCGTCATGGGAAAAGAAGTGGAACTTAGTTGTAAGTGAAAATGCAAAGGACTCACATTGGTTAAATTGAATGATTTTTCTTTTTTTTTTAGGAGAACGTGTGATGCAGCCTCAGATACTGGAGGTTAATTTCAGCCCAGACTGTGAGCGGGCCTGTCGTTATCATCCCAGCTTTTACAACCACATGTTCCAAACACTGTTCCTGGATCAGATAGAACAGTGTCCTGTCACTCAGATTTTATGACCAACCAGATTTCCAGTGCTAAAATAACGTTTCACCGTAAATAAAGATGACTTAAGCCACTTTAACACAGTGTTTATATGTCATCAGGTTGTTGTGCTCTATGTAGCAGTTACACAGATGAATCACTTGTGTGAGGATGTGTGGATTGTTCACTCCTGAATCTGATAACTTTGATTTTAGTGTTGTAATGCAAAATGTAGTATAATGATCAGAAACGGAAGGAAATTAAGTACAAATATTAATATAAATATGTTTGATGAGAACGGTATGTTTATTAATATTTGTTAGATCTTTTCTTTATTTCGGTTTTGTCATTTAAGTCAGGAATGATTCAGCTGAGAGATTTAGCCATTTAAGCAAGCTTTTTTTACATGTTCAAGGGGTGGTGTGGTGATCATCCAATAAGAATATACATTACATCATAAAAAGTCCTTTTATGGAAAATCTCTACTCCATCCTGCTTTCCTAGATGAAATACATGCATACAGAGTGTATATTATGATTTAATGCAAAAAAAAGCAATATGCAATAAATAAAACTTATTTATTTTTAATAATATCCAGGGATCTTTTGCCATTTGAATTAATATTCGCAAAACTATTCAAAAACGATTTGACTGCTTTACTGAAAAGAATCGGCTCAAATGATTTCTTGTGATATCTTGTGTTTCCCTTCATTCACAGGGTATCTTACTTATATTTACTCTGCAAAGTTCCTGTATTATTTTCCTTCAATTTACTAAAAAGTTTGATTCCCGTTGACTCAAATTATTAATCATTTGTTGTTCATTTATTTATTGATGCTGTGAGATCTTTATGGCAGTGGCAGATGATAAAATAATAAAAGAGAAAATATTTCGGAATAATAAGGAATTAAGGTTTAATAAAGAACCATAACATGAACAGTTAAAATCACTTATAATATGTCTAAATAAAATCTAAGTCACAAATCTTAGTGTAAAATATTCTTGCCTAAGGAAAAGCAAAGTGGTCGAGAGCTCTCTATCTATAAGTAGGACAGATTGTAAAAGAGCATGTAGACTAATTTATTCAGAAAATATACAGAAAATTTGTCTCCCCTATACAGTTAACTTAGATGAGCAAAGCCAAGTTACCCTTTTCGTTGTACATTTGGAACAAGGTACGCCCACCATACAAAAGTCTACCTAACTGGTAGTTTGTCATATCATTCTGGACCATAGCCTATGTGAAAGAAAATTGTTAGTCTCAATCCATACAGTATCAGGATCTGCGTTTGCCTTTCCTCATAGATGTTTTCTCTGCCTACATGGTATTTAAAAATACATCTCAGCACTTTAATAAGTCTAATGGAAACTTTAGATAGAGCATTAAACACAATAAACTATATGGTTACTTAAGATTTGATTGGTTAGATTTGATTAAGTGATAAAACATAAAAACGAGATATAAAACAAATTCTACTTCATGAGTAATAATCAGTTTTTAATTATAAGAAACAACAAGCAAGTCTTTAACCAGATTAAACGGTTGCATCGATTCGAGAATACGAATAATCGTGCACAAATCTATGTATCATCTAAAATAGCCGTCAATGTGCAGATCCTGCGGCTCATAAGCATATGAAAGAGCAATTAGCGACAAAATGGTGCCAGCACAAGAGCTACTTCTCACTTTTGATGGCTGAGACCAGACGATCATCATCACCATCAGCGACTGAAGAATGTTACGCCCAACCCCCATCTGGACCCAGGCTAGTGTGCTAAGAAAACATCCCCCACACCATTACACCACCACCACCAGCCTGCACAGTGGTAACAAAACATGATGGATCCATGATCTCATTCTGTTTACGCCAAATTCTGACTACCATCTGAATGTCTCAACAGAAATCGAGACACATCAGACCAGGCAACATGTGCCTTCTTTCTATTTTCATATTGCTAACCTTTTCCAGTGCTTTTTAATGACCTGCAAAAAGCTACATCTAGACTTTTTAGACGAGACAAATGAAATTCCCCAATATGTTTGCTCATTTGATAAAAAGCAAACAGGAGGAATATATATTTTTTCCTTTTCTGTTACACCATATGTTTATATATATATATATATATATATATATAGAAACTCATGCATTTCTTAATGGTAGTGATAAATAGCCTATATGCCCATTTGTTGTCTTCCTGCAGCAGGCATGCCTTAGGCCCCTTAGCATTGGGAATTGGGAGTCGTTTAAATGCCACAGCCTACCTGAGCATTGTTTCTGACCATGTCCAACCCTTTATGGCCACAACGTACACATCCTCTGATGGCTACTTCCAGCAGGATAATGCACCATGACACAAAGGTTGAAGTTTCAAATTTCTTGAACATGAGTTCACTGTACTAAAATGGCCCCCACAGTCACCAGATCTCAACCCAATAGAGCATCTTTGTGATGTGGTGGAACGGAAACATTGCGCCCTGGATGCGCATCCCACAAATCTCCATAAACTGCAAGATGCTATCCAATCAATATGGGCCAACATTTCTAAAGAATGCTTACAGCACCTAGCTTTTAGCAACTAATTCTATAAATGATAAATATCCGGTCAGATCTCCTCTAGAAAATGCTTCTGTAATACACAATACATAGGAAGGACTGAATCTCTCTCTCTCTCTCTCTCTCTCTCTCTCTCTCTCTCTCTCTCTCTCTCTCTCTCTCTCTCTCTCTCTCTCTCTCTCTCTCTCTCTCTCTCTCTCAGCAGTCTAAGGGTCCTTAACATAAAACAGATACATACAAAGGAATGCAAGCAAAAACATTTCTAAAACATGGTTTAAAGTTTCAAGAGTATTTGTCTTGATTTAATAGTTGTATATGGTTGGTTGACAGTATTAGTCTTCCAATAGTCTATGCTTTAAATGTTGTTTATGCTCTTTTGACAAATGTTTATAAAAAGAGATTTGCTGGCAGTGCGCCACTATTAAAAAGTGGCTGAGAAAGTTAATAAATAATGGTGAAAAAAGCAATAGGGGTGAGCAAGTAACCATATACCAAAAGAGAAAGCTTCATTGAGATTGTTAACATCTCAACTCTGTTGACTGGAACAATGATCTTTGGCATGTCGAACTTCTTGATTTTTTGCTGATAAAATATGATTTTACACCAAAAGCAGCAGCACAAACAACAGTAAGTATAATACAGTAAGTAGTAGGCCAGAGGACATGCATTATGAGGGCTCAGTTGGTGCTCAAGGCTGAAGAGAAAGCAGTATTATGTGTGAGCAGAGTTGTGAAGAACGTTGTTTGCATATTTATCACATACATCTTAAACTAAAAATAACATGCCTGCCATGCAGAATATTGCACTGAAAGCAAAATGCATGAAAATCACACATTAGATTTGCGTTTCACATAATTTCACATGTGTAAGAAGATTCATTATTTACGTGGCCTAATTGTCCAGAAAACTTTTAAAATGCTCAGACGTTTTCTATTCTTTAGTTTAGATAGATATTGGGATCCTTGGTTATGCATTTTGCTGTTGCTCTTTTGCAAGACTTAGATTTGGATGATGTAGTCACAGGTGCTGTGTCACTTGTCAGTTGATGTTTCTGGGCTGTGATTACATCACTGAACACGCTTGTCTGCATCTGCAGGATGTAGTGGTTTTCACCCTCATTTCCCTTTACATGCATACAATTAGTGCATGCTCACACACCACATTACAATTCAATTCGGTATTATAGCCTATGCTAAAAAAATGCTATTATGCTAATAGGACATGTTTAAAGCAGAGAACAGTTACATCACGTGACACAGCTAGACAAAATAACGTGACATTTAATTTTTGCAAACCGATTTCTCAAAACGTTGTTATTAAAATATGCATGATCATGATGCATCCTTTAGATTTTATTATTGAGGCATAAACTGTTAAACAAACTTCTGCATTAGTTATTAGTAAATAGGCTATGCATTAAAATAAATTATGTTTTATTAACAAAGTTCGGGAGGAGCACGTTCAGAACACGGATGGAGCACTGCAGCGATCAAGAGGATTCAGCCAAATGCACATTAAACTTTACCCCCTCTTGTATAGTGTGAACTCGTGAATGTCAATAATGATCGATCTTTACGCTCCTGTGTGCATATGCTGCTGTTTATTAACTATGTTGAAAGAAGATAACGATTTAAAAGAACAATAAACAAATCCCTTTGCTTACATGTGGAAATTTGCATATGCTTTTTTTCATAGGTGATAAGTGAGGGGCGGGGCGGGGCGGAGGATGTCTTAAGACAGCCCCTTTCCACTGCACAATGTGCACATTCAACATTTGGGTTGCGGTCTCACAACGCGAACTGAGATCCACCCGCGCGCATCTCAACTTCCATGACGATAATGGATGTGCGATAGACGTTTTGCAAGTTTAATGCAATGCGTTAAAACCAAGAGCGTCCGGGATTCTCATGTGGATTAAATCTTTGTTTTGAGCAGGATAAGTTTGGAGACCCAAAAGTGGACGGAGTCGATGTCGGAGATGCACTGTAAATTGTGAGTAACGTTAGCCTCTCTAACTAGCCTACGGAGTTGGGAAAGTTTAACGTTACACTTAAATGGTGGGGTCTTTGTAGACCTATAAAGGTTTAGAAACTATGTTAAAAACGTCTAGTTTGTTTTTTGGAAATGTTTCTTTTTTTCTTAATCCACACATGTTGTTTTGATGAGATGCATAATATTACGTAATTAGCTGCTATTGTTGAAGAATTGTACCTGTCATAGTCCTTAAAAGAGAGTACACATGTCTGTTTCTGTGTAAGTGCCTAAAAGCAAGGGGCAAGGCAAGGGTCATGGGACGGAAGGCCGTACCCATATGGTACCCATAGATACACTCATGTTATGCAAATAAATGTGCTAAGATTCACAGTTATGTAAACAGAATGTGCCTAGGTGCTCATGGTTAAGCGAATAAAATGTATACATTAGCTTTTTTTTTTTTTTTTTTTTTTTTTTTTTAAAAACATGTGAGCAGATGCTTCGCCATAGGTAAAACAGAAATAACGTTGAGTAAATAATAATGGTAGCGAAATAGGGAGGTGGAGCAGAAGAGAAGTGATAAGAGTAAAGGCACCAATTGGACAGTCAGACCGACTTAACTTAAGATGCGATGGCCAACTTCTCACTTTGTTGAACTGCTCAATAAAGTTATTCTTCTGTCTGAGACCTGAAACCTCGACTCTGCACGATTTCTTCAAGATCCAGATTTGACTCTGCTGATGTTGAATCAAGACTTCTGATTTGCCTCGACACTATTTATTTATTTTTGCTTTGCATCGTCTTACAGGTATGACAAGTCATAAACGTGTATTCATTTGAACTAACTAGTATGTCACTATTAACCCAGCTTTTAATCACTAAGTTAGAGAGTATTTTCTTAAAAAATAGTAGATGCAAGCAGCGCTGTCCGTCGCACGAGCCGATTTAACTTATAAAGATAGTTCTGCAGATTACTGGCAAATGTAACTTATAACATCACTTGACGAAAATTATCGTATACTATTATTATTGTTGCCTGCCGAATGCACTAAAGTGATTATTTCCGAATTCGCCATTCAAAAAAAATCATGAATCGGTTAGTCATGACTGGCTGGCAACGCCTTCGCCTCGCGCGCGCTCACTATCCGCCAGACGGGTTCCTTCAGTCAGAGCGAGAGACTTGAGTTTGAGACTTGAGAAAGGAATGAGAGCAACGAGAGAAGCAGCTCAACTACTGACCTGTTCAGGTCTCAGTGCAGGTCAGTTTCCTCTGTAAAATTGTAAAATCGGCTAGTTTTGTCTTTGTTTATTTAGTTAAGCATTAAAGTGCTGCTGCTTGCAGAGTTAACCATTAGCACCCCATTACTAACGTTACCATCATCACTCAAATGCTGTATGCTTAGGACATCATTATCTATTGTAAAGTTCCTGTAGTAATTTAGCAGACAAATATTCACATCGCTTTACAATAGGTTTAGAGTGAGCTAGGGCAGACAAACAACAACAAATTAGCTTTACCACAAATAAAACCATGGGAACTACAGTTAAATTATGTTAACCACATAGGCCCTATGAACCACCATGGTTTTACTACACTGACTAACCACAGTTTAAACATAATTATACAAATGGTAATTTATCCACCAAAAATGTATGTGGAATAAAACCATGGTTAATTTCCGTAAGGGAAAAACAGACTCATGATTAAGCTTAAGCTTATCATGATTAAGATTTTTCTATACAAATATTTTTTTATGATGTAGTTATTGTGCTAATTTTGACATTTAGGCAATTTAGAAAATTTAGTTTTGTTAAATCTGGAGTATATAAGTCATTTTAAGATAAAACAACAGCACATGATCATAATATATATTCTAAATTTAACTAAAATATATGTAGCCTATGCCTACAGAGATAGGAAAGAACGCTACCTACAGTTCCTTGAAACAAAAACCTGCGAATGCATCCAGGTGCAAATCCAAAAAGATTCTGTATTTCCAAGTATCAAACCGATAACAATACATGAAAGTACAAAACCACTACATTACCAGGTTCTTTTAAACGTGTACCCTGAAAATATTTTAGTGTATTTGTATTAGAATCCAATATGTCTGTGGTATATGGTTTGAGAGAAAAATGAGCAGAATGAACTGCTGCCGAATTCAAGACCATATATCAATACTGTGGTGTGGATATGTTGTATGTTGTGTGATATACAGTAGAACTACATAATATGGTTAAAAATAACACATTTTTAATAACATTTAAAAAATCGGTGAATATGTAAATTTTTCTAGGCTGGACATCACTTTGGCCACTACTTTACATACTACTACTACTACTATATCAGTATGGTATTTGTGTGTGTGTGTGTGTGTGTATATATATATATTAGGGCTGTGCAAAAGTTAATTGCGATTAATCGCATCCAAAATAAAAGTCTGTGTTTACATAGTATATTTGTGTGTGCTGTATATAATTATTTTGTATATATAAATACACACACATGCATGTATATGTTTAAGAAAATGTGTTATTCCTATATAAAATATTTATATTTATATAATATAGATTATGTATTTTTATATACAGAATTTAAGCGCAAATAATTCTTAAATATATACATGCATGCATAGGTATTTATATATACAAAATAATTATATACAGCACACTCAAATATATTATGTAAAACAGACTTTTATTTTGGATGCGATTAATTGCAATTAACTTTTGCACAGCCCTAATATATATATATATATATATATATATATATATATATATATATATATATATAGTGCTGGGCAACGATTAAATTACGCGATTAATCGCATGATTTTTTTGCGATTAATTACATTAAGTGCAAATTTGAATAATGCATTACGTTGACTTTTAGGGACAAGAAAATTGATTATTTGTCAAATTCGAATGACGTTTTATAATTTATGACAGTATGAGTGAGTTTAATTTGTTCATTGATTGACCATTAATCTAGTAAATGATTTAATCCAACGTGTTGGAGATTTCTACTGCCCTATATGTGTGTCTCACATAAGTGTGTACTTTGAAGAATGAGGGGAGACATGAGAAAAGAACGGGTGTTGGAGAAACACCTAGAGTCCTTGTACATGTCTATATATATAGAAAAAAGGTCCAAAGATCAGAGGTAGATCTATATTTTGGTTCGTTTCGCTCGGACATTTAACGGCATAGACATACACGCACACGTGGATAGCTCAAAATGCGTATAGATAACGCAATGTTGACGCAAAAGTCATGATGTCATGTTGGTATTGTGCACTTTTGATTTAAATGTACTGGTATATATACACAAAAGTGCAATAATGTGGTTTGCAAAAACTTTTAACAAACAGCCTAATGTACTTTTTACCAGAAGTATTCCCTTTACACAATAGCAATAAAATATTTCTTGTAAATCTCAACTTAAACGTTAATGTAATAAAATTTTAAACCAAAGCTATTGGGCATTGCCTTTTATCTAGCTTGTTAAAACAAGTTACAGTCAGAGTCCTGTTTTCTTGGGTTTTTTTCATCATGTATCTTTAATCAAGGAGCGGCAGAAACAGACTATGTTCAGTAGCAAGTTTCCCTTTTAGAGTGAGGCACAAGGTGCAGCGACAAGCAGGTGCGTTCCAGTGAAACTGTCGTGGTTGTGCGCACATGCCAGCCTGGCTGACCAACATCCCACCCCTGTGACCCATGGTTTGACTGTAGGCCTATGTGTCTTCAGAGCCAGTCAGCAAAGGACTTTCAAAATAATAATAAATAAAAACGTGTGTTAACATGCGATTAAAAAAACAAAAAAAAAACACGCATACATAGTGAGTGATATCCACCTCTGCCTACATGCCCCTAAAAATATTAGTGCTACTTTTTCATCAGCTTCTAATACTTATTCCATTAGTAATTAGTATATTCAGTTAGTCTCTGGTCCCCCAAAAAAACTGCAGTATACCAGTAACAATGGGAAAGTTACTTGTCAGTCTAAGTATTAGCTAACTATTAGTGACAAATTTAGTATCTCTCCAATAGTCACACTATTGGAAAGAGTACTAGTATCTAATGAAAAGTGACTTGTAAAAAATACTCCTCAATATTTAATTCCTTTTTAAAAGAAAAAGTACAAGTAATATTCAAATGGAGGAATACATGTTAAATCCGTCTTACAATAAATGCTAAAATGCAGCTGAGGGTGTTTGTAGGCTCTGTTTATAAAATGCAATGACATATTGAACGCAGAAAACAGCTTGAATCTGAAGCCTAATATTACACTAAAAAGAATGCTGAACTATAGTTAGACAGCCTTTGAGAAGTCATGACTTCTCACAGGTCAAAGGGAAAAGGAATATGGGCATCCTATTACTGTACAACAGCTGCCAGTGTTTGAGGAACGGGTCGGTCGCACCATCAATGCATTACAACTTATAAATGCACAAAGAGTTTGAAATTTGAAAGAGTTTCACCGCACTCACGGCAAACAAGGTGCCAGACAGATACCACTTGACAACCCAAAAAATAAATAAATTATTTGCACACTTGAGTCCTTAAAGCAAAATTTAATGCCAAGATTTCGGTAATACAACCATCCTCAGGGCATTTTTATTAATTTAAATTTCATTTTTATTTATTTAAATCTACCCTACTTTGTCATTGAGAAAAATATTATAAGACTATACCTTATTAAAATATTGCTTAAGTTAAAAGACCTGTGTATGTGTGCGTGTGTTTTATATCACTAGTGCAGTGTCCATTATCCCTGCTCGCGTTAGGCGTGTCACTTCTTTATTTAAATCTACCCAACTTTGTCAGTAATTTGTTAGTGAGAAAAATATTAGACTACCTTATTAAAAACATTACTTAAGTTAACAGACCTTTGTGTGTGTGTGTGTGTTATATCACCAGTGCAGTGTCCATTCTCGGAGCATATAAGCTCTGCTCGCGTGAGGCGCGCCGCTTCCCGTTCGCGCTATTCTGTAGTTTATTAAAGTTTATTAATTCTGAACGTGTCGTGTCTCACCTGTCTATATTGCACCAAATATGACACTGCACTCCCTTGTGAAGTCGTTTGGATGAACGGTTCTCGAAATAATCAAAATGCAAACGGACAGACAGACAAATAGAGATTCCGAAGCTTCGAATATTCAATATTAATTACTACCGAAGCTTCGAAGCTCAAAAAATGGTATTTGGACCAGCCCTAGATGTCATTAACTGATCAATCTGTGTAGCGTTGCTTCTAGTTGAACACACTTAATGAGTTATCAAACCTTTTCCCCTTTTCCATATCTCTGCATATTAGATAGGGAAATTCCTACCTAAGTGTTATTCCTTTGAATTTTTTTATTGTTATGTAACCCGATTTACATAATTGCTTTTATTAACATATTTTTCTTGGTTTAGAACACTTGAGTGACTCAGCATAAGAGCCAAGGCAGCAGCCATTGAGGAACCTTTACCATGCAGAGATACACATGGAGTTCAAATCAACGTCCTCCACCTCAGTACCAAGAGCGACCTCCACCTCAGTACCAAGAGCGACCTCCACCTCAGTACCAAGAACGACCTTCAATTCGGTACCAAGAACAATTCCCGCCTAAGTACCAAGATGTCAGGGATGAACAATCCAATATGTTCCAGGCACAGTTCAACACTCAACATTATACCACATCACCGACAAGATATTCCAATGGACAACAAGAAGCTTCAAATCATTGCCAATCTTTTCAATCAAACTTGCATGGATATAATCCGCAGACAAACCAGGCCCATCCCCAATACCCGTGTGCAGCCTCCAACACACAGCAGCACTACCCATCTGAAAACCCAAACACAAATGGGTATCATGCCCAATTTGGCACACAATCAAACGTTTCCTCCCCACATAACTATGGAGAAACAGGCCGCAATCAAGCTTACATGTATCGGTCTCCACAGTCAAACCATGGCAACTCTGTGGTTAACAACAGGAGTTGGAATTTCCACATGTACAACAGTCACAGCTTTTATTCCATGAACAATCAGCAACAATTTCAACCTCCTAGAACGGCTCCTCGTCATCATCATCATCAACAACAACAGTTCTCTAGACAACACTCAGGCAAAAAACATAAAAGCCACCACCGGACACAAGGACACCATCCACAATCCTCTTCTTGGGCCCATAACAATGCAGTTTCCCAGAGAATTTCCAACAATCAAGCTCAGAGCCAAATGGTGGCAAGTTATACCTCATGCAACTCTACGACACCGCCTTCTGGAGCACAGAGCGAGATTCCATTGCCTTCCAATAACTTAAACCAAAGTCCTGTTACCCATAACCAGCCAGAACTAAGGTCAAATGCAGGTCCAGATGTATCTACAAACCATTCTCAGAATAATCAAAGCACTGAGCAACAGTCTCAGGGCACAAACGGTGGGACATATAACAATGAGGCCTCTCAAATGACATGGACTAATGAAGCCCCACCTCAGACCCATTATAGATTTAATAATTCGCTAATATATCAATTACTGACTTCAAAAGACAATAAACAAGCTGGTAAGCAGCTGATACCAGATGAAAGAAATGCACATCATAACACTTGTTCAGAACAGTCAGAGGTTTGTGCAACCAACAGGACTGATCACCATTCACATTTTTCTGAACCTAGTGTACAGTGTGCAGTTGAACCCCCAAGTAAGATTATGGAGAATGCTGTTCAGAAAGACTATTGGAACAAAGAAACAAGGGTTTCCAAAGACAGAAATGATTTTGGAGTGCAATCTGTCCGACCTGGTACCCATCAGACAGGTAGCAATAAGAACCGACCTAAAGAAATGAGTCAATACAACATACAGTACAGTACGGACCCGGCGGACTGTCTTGAAGCGGTGTTTGCGCTAAAGAAAGTCTCACAGCAAGTTCACAAGGCAATAGCCATCGTTCCACCCATTTCCCAGCAGACCTCAAACACTGCACAGATGGCTGATACCAGCCCCAAAAAAGCTGACAGTCCACCGTTAAAGATTGATTCTGTTTGGTCATTTGCTGAGTCTGATGCACAAAAAACTGCAGATGACAAGTTGTCTGAATCCCCCTCACCAACTGCCCAACAGGAGGACAAAAGCCAAGAAATTGAGACTACAAGCAACATTGCAGACTCTGATATATGCTCTACTAGCCCAGTTGAATGTCAAAATAATGTTCAGCAAGGTGACTGTGATTCAAGTGATACTTCATTTGACTTATCTAGTGTGCCAGTGGTTAAGTACACACTAGGGAATTTAATGGACTTAGTGAAGTCTTTAGAGATGACGGAATTATCAAATGAATATGCAGAGATATCTGAGAGCATTTTGAAACACTGTTGGAATGGGAATAAGGCCAATCTTGTGGAGGCATTGAAATCATTTAAACAAGAGGTAGAACTGCACTCATCTGTAGAAATCGTAAGGGATTATGAGTCTGTGGTATTTGAAAGTATTGAAACTGAAAACCTAAAAAAGCTAGCTCATTGCGACAATCTCAACGATGAGATGTATTCATCGTCTGAGGAGTATAGGTCCTCTTGGTTAAATGTTGATGGACAGCCAGCTGATATTGACAAGGTGCTTTCAGAACCACTGTTGGATGACATAACCGTGATCAAGACGACATCACAGTTATTTTCAGAGAACACTGTTGTCACTTTATCCAATTTAGGTGTGAATTCCCTCAAAGATGTGCCCATGGTTTCATCCAAAGAAAAAAGTGTAAAGCCAGACACGTGTAGACCAACAGCTCTTTTCACACCCCAGTCAGGAAATGACATTGAGGAAATAGCCACAGAAAACAATGGCCATTCATATGCAGGGCTGTCTAGAATTACATCTCTGAGCAGCAACTCCAGTGAGAATGAGACATTTCTAGGCAGCGTCTCCAGTGAGAAAGAGACATTCAAGAAACAAGAGGACATCAAACACAGCCACAATTTTAACACAAAGCCTTCAGAGAACGTCCCATTAGCAGAAGGATCTACAGAGATACGTACAGCCTGCAGCGATGAAATAGAAGTATTCAGACAAGATCATTATGAGCAAATATGTCACAATGTGCCTGTGTCAGAGGCACTTCCTCTTAGCCCTGAGGACAATGTTTCAGATGGTGTAAAAAACTCTGAGGAGTCTTTGTCTACTGAGACTCTTTGTAATTCCAAGGATACATGGCTGGTAGAAGATATTTCAGAAGATGAAAATCCAGACCATAAGGAGGCTCTTAATAACTCCTCAGACATTGGGCTGGTGGACGATATTTCAGAAGATGAAAATCCAGACCATAAGGAGGCTCTTAATAACTCCTCAGACATTGGACTGGTAGAAGATATTTCAGAAGATGAAAATCCAGGCCATAAGGAGGCTTTTAATAACTCCTCAGACATTGGACTGGTAGAAGATATTTCAGAAGATGAAAATCCAGGCCATAAGGAGGCTTTTAATAACTCCTCAGACATTGGGCTGGTAGACGATATTTCAGAAGATGAAAATCCAGACCATAAGGAGGCTCTTAATAACTCCTCAGACATTGGGCTGGTAGAAGATATTTCAGAAGATGAAAATCCAGACCATAAGGAGGCTCTTAATAACTCTTCAGACATTGGGCTGGTAGATGCTATTTCAGAAGATGAAAATCCAGGCCATAAGTTGGCTCTTAATAACTCTTCGGACATCGGGCTGTTGGAAGATATTTCAGATGATGAAAACACTGGAAATAAGGAGGAGGTTCTTCCTATCTCCTCAGACATCTGGCATGTGGAAGACATCTCTGATGATGAAAATCCAGGCAATGAGGAGGCTCTGAATAACTCTTCGGACATTGGGCTGGTAGAAGATGCTTCAGAAGATGAAAATCCAGGCAATATTGAGGCTCTAAATAACTGCTCGGACATATGGCTGGTAGAAGATATTACAGATGATGAAAACACTGGAAATAGGGAGGTTCTTCCTATCTCCTCAGACAACTGGCATATGGAGGACATCTCTGATGGTGAAGATCCAAGCAATAAGGACACTAGTAGTAACTCCCCAGACATATGTGTGGTGGAAGATGTTTCTAATGATGAAAATTCAAAGGACGATGATCCCTTGCTACTGGGAATCACAGTGCTATCATCTGAAGATGCTAAAACTTTTTTCCAAAAGATGGAAGATAAACCTTTATGCAGCATCAAAACCACTACATCAAAACTTGACAACCCAGATCTTGTAGCATGCTTTGATGTACCCAGTCAGCCTAGCCCAGCTATTTGTTCTCTTTGTGGTACCAAAATGGCAATATCCAATTCCACTAATGTGACGTACAGTGATGCTGATATTTTCTGCTTCCAGTGTTGGGAACAGGCACCTTTACTGGTGCTAGAAGAGCAGCCGTGCTCTCCTATGACAAATGAGGCTGATGTACTGGGCTCCCCTGCTAAATCAAACAAACAAGGTCAAGATTGTAGTCCACTATGTGTTAAACTGGAAGTCATGGAGCTAAATGTGGCTTCAACAAACGAGTGCATTGTGGATGAAAGGCTGACAACACGAAGAAGTAGCCATATGATAAAATCAGAACCGGGTCAAGATTCGCCATCTCTTGAACTGAAAGACAAGGAGCTGAAGGTTACTTCGCCAGAAAAATGCTTTGAGAATGAAGGACAAAAAAGAGACACTATGGATAAATCAGAACTGAGACAAACCTGTAGTCCACCATTTCTTGATCTAAAGGTCAAGGAGCTAACTGTTACTTCAACAAAAAAATGCATTGTAGATGAAGGACTGACTGGACAAATAAGTGACAGCATGGTAAAACCAGAACTGGGACAATATTGCAATTCACAATCTCTTGAACTGAAAGTCACCGAGCCAACTGTTGCATCAACAGAGGAACGCACTGAAAATGAAAGACTGACAGGACGAAAAAATTGTAGTCGACCATCTCTTGAACTAGAAGTCAATGAGGCATCTGTTGCTTCCACAGAGGAACGCGCTAAAGATGAAAGACTGATGGGACAGAAAAGTGAACGTTTTATAAAAGCAGGACAGAGACAAAATTGTAGTTCATCTCTTGAAACGCAGGTCAAGGTGCCAAATGTTGCTTCTCCAGAGGATTGTATTGCAGATGAAGGACTGACAGGACAAAAAAGTGATATTAAGGTAAAATCAGTGACTGAAATTCAGAGGCCAGCTGAACAGGAGAGAAATGATAAAACGGAGAAAAACCGATTGGCCAAGCACCAACGCAACAAGCCACCTCCAAATAAATCAGCTTTTTTAAAGCATAAACTTGGTCGCGCTAGGACTGGTTCCGATGACTCTGTGCTTTTCGCTCCAGATATTGTGGTTAAAAAGTTTGCAAAAAAACGCCCTAGTGGTGGGAGTCAGGACTGCAGCAAGGTGAAAAAATTAAAAGAACACAGGCAAGAAAGACAAGATTGTCCTGACAGAACCTCACCTCACCATAGAGAAAACCTACAGAAAGTTACAGAGAAAGTGCCCGGCCCGGACACACCACACCAAAAGTCCAAAAGGAAGCTTGAGCTGTGTGGTATTCTGTCAGTGAATAAAACTAAAACCGCTGAGCCAAAGAAAGTGAGATTTGACTTGTTTGGATCCAACAGAGAAAAACAGATCAATGTTCCCGGGCGGCATTTTTCAGCAACCGTGACCTTGACGGTCTCCGATAACTGCAGAGAGTATACCGATGGGCTTTCTGCCAAACAAAAAGTTCACAACCAGTGGAGCAGCACCTTTATACCTAAAATGAAGACCCAGATCTTTTCTCCCAGATCACCACAGAAGAAAAACAAACAGAAAACGCATGACAGCATTAACATGACCGCATTAAAAAGCCATTTGACTCACAGAGCCTCGCTCCTGTCCAGTGGTGAGAGAGAGACTAATCACTTTAGAAAACCAGGTTTTCATCCAAAGCTAACCTAGATGCTTGATCATTGCTTTTATAATGTTTACTTAAACATGTTTACACGTTATAGCTTTTCTGTTTATGACAGCGATGGATGTTTTTTTTTACTGTTATTGAAAGCAAAATAGAAAACTTTATTTTAGCACCATTGTAATATACCGTTGTAAAGTATGTGACTGAAAAATTCAGTCTGCAAAAACTGCTATCTGTTATTTTATAAGAGTATTTTTATAATCATTTTAAGTACTTCTTGATGTTACAAAGTGTAAAATATAACATTTGTATTTGGAAATACATGCCAGTTTACTGGAAAGGCAGCTGTCACTTAATAAATCTGTTGAAATGACATGTTCTCTTCCACTTGTTTAGAGCTTCTTTGGTTATTTATTTTGCTCAGTCGTAGAACATTATAGTTCACATTCCTTTCCTTTATAACTTTTTTTGTGCAGTTATGATCTATAATATATGATATTTAATTTCAACACAGTCAGATTGGTATAGAATAATGACACAATGATGCAGAAAATCCAGTTTCAAAATATACTGCTATTGTATAATCCCTTATGTGATTTTTTTTTTTTAGTGTACAAATTGTTAGAAATTATTTTTGCAGTTCCAAAAAAAAAAAAAAACTGATCAGTGTTTCATTATCTGTGTATGCTGTCTAGGCTGCATGATAAGAACGAATGCAACACACAAGCAAATATTTTTATTAGAATTATGACCTAATTCTGACTTTATATCACGCAATACTGTCATTATATCTCGCAATTCTGACTATAACACAATGTCGAGTTTATATGTCCAAGTTTTGACATCTCATTGCGAGTTATCAGGCCAATTCTAAGGGGGGAAAAGGCTAACTTTTTTCACCCTCAGATAGTTTATATCTTTCAATTCTGACTTTGTCATGAGAAATAAAGTCAGAATTGTGAGAAGTAAACTCGCAATTGTGAGAAAAAAAGTCACAATTACCGTTTTTATTTGTGTATAAAATGTATGAAAACAATGATTTTTTCTTTACTTTATTCTTTCAGTCCTGTGGGTTTGGCGTAAACAGAATGACAACATGGATCCACCATGCCTTGTTAGCACTGTGCAGGCTGGTGGTGGTGGTGTAATGGTGTGGGCGGGGGATGTTTTCTTAGCACACTTTAGGCCCCTTAGTGCCAATTGGGCATCGTTTAAATGCCACAGCCTTACCAGTGCATTGTTTCTGACCATGTCCATCCCTTTATGGCCACCATGTACACATCCTCTGAATGCTACCTCCAGCAGGATAATGCACCATGACACAAAGCTTGAATCATTTCAAATTGGTTTCTTGAACATGACATTGAGTTCACTGTACTAAAATGGCCCCACAGTCACCAGATCTCAACCCAATAGAGCATCTTTGTGATGTGGTGGAACGGGAGCTTCGTGCTCTGGATGTGCATCCCACAAATCTCCATCAACTGCAAGATGCTATCCGATCAATATGGGCCAACATTTCTAAAGAATGCTTTCAGCACCGTGTTGAATCAATGCCACGTAGAATTAAGGCAGTTCTGAAGGCGAAAGGGGGTCAAACACAGTATTAGAATGGTGTTCATAATCCTTTAGGTGAGTGTATGTTGATTCAGATAACAGTTTTGTGTAATGAATGTAGCGAGTGTCAAAGGAACATCAAGACAGATTAATAGAAAACTCATGAAGGGAATTGCAAATGCATCCCAGTTTAAACAATGCGAGCTGATCTGACAAAACCATAGATTATAGTTTTCAAACATGAACATCACATTTCAGCCCTCTCACCTACGACTGGCCACAGATCCACTTGCCCCGACCACATTTAAGTAGGTTTACTTACTATAATATTATATATGTATATTATAATAATTATAATATTATAACTACAATATTAATAGCAGAATGACAGAAACTGAAGTTTTCATCCGCTCCACTAGGCGGCGTCAGCGGGGTTCTCTGTCAGAGCGACTCCTTTGGATCCTTGACAACATTGACGCGTGCAGCAGATGACAGCTATTAATATCACACAACTGTACATATTTCAGCAAGTAACCGACACACAATCCGATAAAATGCTGGAATCGAGTGTCATTTAACTCTGTGGTAAGTAACTTTGCACATCAAGTGAATTTCTCTTGTAAAATAATGTCGCGACGCTTAATGTTTTGTATAATTATATTTACCGATGCATCGTTCTGCTGTAATGTCGTCATCATAGCAGGGCTCGTCAGTTTCATTTTCATGATGTCTGTAATCTAAATTTATTTTAAGCTTGTTATTACATTATGGCATTCGCTTCTTCTATAGAAAGTTTTAACACAGACTTTGTTGCTCTTCTTTTTTTGAAACACTCAGACCTTCAGAAAAGCAAATTAATCTGTTGGTGTTGCTTGACATTTATGGGGAATGGTGTTTGTGTGTGTCTGTTGTTGTTGCTGTAGTCTTACTGTAGGTAATAATTTACAGGATTGATGTTTGTTAATAGAGTCAGTTGGAGTGAGAAGCTCTGATGTTTCTGCTGCTTCATGGTTTTGTAATGAAAACCATCGTATAAACAGTCCAGAGCTAAAACCATAGGAAACCAGACAGAGCTAAAACCATAGGAAACCAGCCTTTCAGGATGTGTGTTTCCCTTTCAGGATGTGTGTTCAGACTGTGTTTCCCCTCTTTCCTTTCACTCTCTCTCATGCCAGCTGTATGTGTTTCTCTGGGGTGGTACACTAAGTGTTGAGTTTATATACACCACTGAGGAATTTACTAATTCCTTGTAAGGTAGAAAACATGTTGGATTAAAATAAATGTGTGCCTCATGCAATCCACTTTCCTTATAAAGAAAACTGTCCTTCAGTGTTTACATTCATGGTATATATATATATCAGTTGAAAACATTCCTTTCCCTATAAAGAACATGCCAACTGTCCAGCAGTTGATTTACACTTCATCATTGGAAAATATTTGCATCAGTGGCACATAAGTTGCATTGCACACATACTTCTATGCAAAATATAGCTCATCCCATATCTCTCCTCAGTGCAAACACACTCTGACTTCACAAAATAACAACAATTATTATGAACATTAATAAAGAAAAACAATACTGAAAATGACATTAAAACAAAACAATTGTAGTCTTCAATTACTCGTGTTGATTTTGAAGGAAAGTCTCATTTTAATTTGAATTGAGTTAAAGGGTGTTGTTGATACAGCCTTACTGAAGTATACTATATTATATAGTATAAGTATACTATATTATATACTTATCAACGTTCATATTCTCATTTATAGTGTTGTGGAAATGATTCTCTGTTATTCGAAAAGATAGGAGGAAGAAGACAAGTGGAAACCTTTTCAAAAGTCAAAGTATCAAAAGTTTATTTTCTTGCAAGAAAACAAATCCAATCTCTAGGCGTTCAACATACAGAACAGTGTCTACATGTGAAGGCGAAGGCTAGTCCTTCTCATCATCCTTATATACCTGAAAACCCAGGAAACCATGCAGGCTATGTCTGGTTTTGCTACCGATTGTCTCCTACACCATCTAGCAAGGAAACATGTTTGCGCTGCTCTTAACTATTCTTGTAGACCGTATATTTAATTTGGACAGCACAATGACGTTTGTGTTAAGTTTCCTATGTTCAAGTACAGCTTGACTTCACACCTCAATTTATCTCTTGGTTGCAAGTTCTGTTCGACCTCACACCTTTCTGCTCAATTTATCTCTTGGTTGCAAGTTCTGTTCGACCTCACACCTTTCTGCTTTATCTTTTGTTTGATCAAAACCCTGCACAAATATAACTCACACTTGAGATACAATGAGCTATTAAAATGTTTCCATGTTGCTTGCTTCTTTGTTAAACACAGAACATTATGTCCTCACACCCTCACACAGAAGTAGAATTAATTATTCTCTTATTAAATTCTTAAAAAATATAATTATTTCTAAAGCACCTGAAATTATTTATGGTAGATTGACCTTCTTCAGTGACGTTCATATTTATTCCACTCGTCAATCAAGTGAAGGGCGTTTCTTGTTACCTGTCTGTCGAACTAATCAACTTCAAAGGACATCGTGTTACAGAGCAGTGGTGGCATGGAACTCGCTCCCATTATTTTTGGTCTCAGAGAGTCACAATGTTAGTTTTTCCAAAAGATTGAGACTGTATTTATTTACTTTGGAGTAATTGTAATTTTTATAATTAATAATGACTGGACAATGAGCTATAATAATTGAAATGTGATTTTCATATTTTTTGTTGTACCCAGAGAGTGGTAATATTTTGCATATTTAAGAGCTTGTATTCTGATGTTATGTTTAGTGTGTGTGTGTGTGTGTGTGTGTGTGTGAGAGTTTGATGATTTATGATGTTGTGTGCACTTCTGTATCTGTCTTTATTGTTGTACAGCTTTGATGTTAAGTTTTTGTTAAAATGTTGTGACCCCAGGAAGAATAGCTGCTGCTTAATGTAGCAGCTAATGGGGATCAAAATAATAAACATAAACATAAACACTAAGCTTACATTACTTATGCATTTCTAACAGTTTAGTTATACCTTAAGCTTACTCTAACTTATGCATTTCTAACAGCTTGTTATATCTTTAACAATGTCCTTTGGATTACATGAACATCTTCCTTTAAATGCTTATGAGTATATGTTAGATGATATGAATATTTTCCTTTAAATGCTCATGAATACATCTTCTCCAACGTTAGTAAAAATTACACATACATCTATCACATCTTAATGAAATAAAAGAAAACATATAAAAGAAAATAAAGATCATATATGAAAGAAAAGAAACTTGTATAAATGTAAATGCAAAATTAGCCATTACAATAGATGTAGAATATATATAGTTATGATTTTTTATTTTATTTATGTCTTACAGAAGGAATGTGTTTGAACCATTACATCCAGTCATCAGAAGCAGAGATCTGAGTCGTGTGGACAGACATTGACTGTAATGATGGACTTCTGCTCATTGATAGGTAATGTATATAATGTGTGTTTTACTGTGCTAAACATGTAGATACCCATCATTTTCTTTTTGAAGGGAAATGAAAAGCAAATGATGGGAACCTAAACTGGTGGAGAAGGATTTTTTTATTACATTTTTTTATTCTTTTTTTCCCCTGTGTCCAAAAAGCATAACCACTGCCAGAAGCTCCTTTCGCAGAGACCCAGCTGGGATCTAACCAGCAACCTCTGAATCCGTGAGGCAGCGCTCTTACCTGAGAGCCACAGATCTCTTCTCAGTTCATGTGAAGTAATTTATATTTCACTGTTATCCTGAGAGTTTCCAATAAAACCATTAAAGTGAGATTTGAATCCGTGTCTTTATTACT